TGCTCCTCTTGCTTGGTTCCAAAAATTTAAGGATGTCACATCAGCTTATCATCGATTGGCACATTTTGCACCAAAAAGCACCGGAATCCACTAGCTCTACAAATAGATAAAAAAGTGAATAGCGCTCTATTTTACCTCACGCAAAACAAGGAATTGGGAACTCTTCCTCTTGTCGACCATGAAAACAGGCATGTATGGGAGCAAGCCGCCACCAAGTTACCTCATTTTTCTTTCTAATTGATTGGTTTTGCGCTTCCAATGAGTTGATCTATGTAAGAATGGAATAGATGAGTAGGTAGCGGGTAACCATTATAATAGATACACTTACCATGGACAACAGCAACCAAGGCAACAAGAGACTTTGTCATGAACTCAACAAGTTGAATAATGATCATCGTAGAGACAAAGGGAATCAGCACATAGCTTGGCAAAGTAAAAAGCTCAACACTGGAACTTCTGCACGGCGACAAGTGGTGGAGGGAATACACATTCCTGTGGTGACAAAAAAGGACGTAGTGGACCATGTTGTTCCTGTACGGTCAAAGAAAGTACCACCGGCAACAAGGGGAATAGTCGAGTTAGAGGGAATTGCAACCATGATACAAGAGAATACAATGTGTCGCTATTGCAAGAGAGTTGGTACACTTACGCTTTCCTTCCAGCACGTATGTGTTGCCACCATTCCCCATCTGCAGTGTTCAAGGTGTGGGAACGCTGTAGAGGGGGATGTACAGAAGACATCCATCCTTCCTGAAGAACGTCGACAACACAAAGCGAACCTTGATTATGACACAAATGTCCGTTACGTGTTATCTTTCCTTGCCAGTGGTGACGGTGGAGTGGAAGCGGAAAGGCTGTTGTCTTTTCTTGGGCTGCCGAACTCAACAACCATGGCACGATGTTCTTTCCTTCGAGTGGAAAGTGGAATGACGGAGGCAATTCAAAAGTTAGTTGACAAGTACATGGTGGACAATTTGAAGAAAGAGGTGAAACTTACCAACGCCGGAAGAGAAGACTTCGATTACGCGGCATGGGAGAGTCTTTTGGGTGTTGAAGATGACGTTCCAGATGGTTTTGTGTTCCCAATACTGCATGTGTCCATGGATATGGGTTGGCAGAAGCGATCGAGTGGACGTCGGTATGACTCCAACTCTGGCCATGCCTTCTTGGTTGCTCGACAAACTCGAAAACCTGTGGTGAAATGCCTCAAGTGCAAGTTTTGTCGCGTTTGTTCCAATCATTTGACAAGATTGAATCTCACGCTGGAGACAGTAAGAGACCATGAGTGCAAGGTCAATCATGTTGGTAGTTCCGGTTCCATGGAGTCTGCCGCCTTGATCGAAATGACTGAATGGTTGTACTTTTCGCATCATGTGATTGCAAAAACGGTGATAACAGACGATGACAGCCACATGAAGTCCAACTGTAAATGGTCAAACAAGGATTGGATGGACCACCACGGACACACAGAAAAAAAGGATTTGATTCTTGGGTGGAGGCAGCCAGGTCCAAAGGCGAAAGACCAACGACCGCAACCAATTCACAGAAAGGAGGGATACTTGAAGTATCCTGTGCCCCCTCCGGAGTTCCTCGCTGATCCCGCTCATCGTAAGAAGACTCTTCGCAACAAATTGTACAAACTTCTCAGCCAGACCGTGGACAAGAATCATGGGATGGCAGAGGGTGATGTTGTCCGGTTGACGTTCTATTTCATTTACTTCGTTCGTCAGTTGGATCAGTGGGACGAGTCTGAGTGGGAAGATAAAGCAAAATGTATATTAGATCATCATTTTGACAAACATGACAGTTGTGGAGAATGGTGTTCAAGAAAGGCCGAAACGGTTGAACAGAAAGTGGCCAGTGAAAAGGCTTACCGATGCATGGAGACTCATTCTGAGTTGTACAGTGCTCTCAAAGAGATACTGGCCCCATACATCACGCTGGAAGCCTTGCGTGAAGTTTCGCATGGAAGTGACACTAACGTCAATGAGTCGTTGAATCAATTGATTACATGGTTTGCTCCAAAGAATAAAACTTACTGTGGGTCCGACTCACTCCGAAACCGAATAGGGCTGGCCATTTCCATTCATTTGGTGGGATACTTTGAGTGCTTTCGGCAGTTGTTTGAAGAGCTTGGTCTCACAATGGATGCCTCCACGGAGTACTCTCTCCGGCGATGTGACAAGGCAAGATTGTACCGTTTGGAAAAGTCAAGACGGAGTGACGTGAAAAGGAAAAGGAAGGAGGTCGATCAGGAAAAGATCCGGGAATACATCCAGATGTTGCGTGAAGACAAGGCCGCTGGTACTGGCTACGCAACGGGGTGTGCAATGGATGAAAATGGTGGTGGCGGTGTCATTGTGCGTTGTAAAAGATGCAAGGGCGTAGGGCATAAAACGGCGAATAGTCGACTATGTCGCTTCTTCAAGCCACGCAAAAGGAAAAATGACGAAGCAGTCGAATCCGAAGTCACCGGCAATCAAGATGTATTGCTCGCAGGACAGGCTAACTCTACCTCCGTTCTGGATGTCGAAGATACCAATGTTTCTATGCAGACGCCAGAGGAACATACCACCACAACGGATGACACATTCCGTGTTGAGATAGGATTCGTAGATACGATTGGCTTAACAAGTGGCGAGGAGAGTACGCACGACCTGTCGCCTGAAAACGCAGTCTAATTGGCTCAAATAAAATCGGCGATACAACTTTTTAGATACCAGAGATTTTCTACTATTTTACTGTGTCTACCGAATCATTGGTTGATAAAGAGTCTTCTTGGCGACAAGACACAGTCAATGCGGACGGAACAAGGACGGAACAATAATTGAATGCGGGACGTTGAGAGCCAATCAGTTAGATTGAACCAACACTTGCTTCGGATTCAGTACTGGCGGTTGTGTCAGCCTCGATAGCGTACTTCGCACTTTCCTTGTAATCGCTGTTCTTCGCTTCGCTACTCGCTTTCTTTTCAGCCAAAGCCTTCTTGACCTTTGCAAAATGGCGCCTCCTGACTTCTTCCACCGCCTCATTCATACGCTCTTTGGTACGTTCCATCTTCTTCACAAGAGTCGTCGAGACCGGCGATCCTGGGCGAATCGGCGAGGGTGGAAGCAAGGTCGCACCAGCACGTTTGCGAGTCATCGGAGTCACAGTGGTGTATCCCATTCCACTCTTGTTGGGGTACAAGTTGCGAACCCGGTCGACAAAGCATGATGGGAGATTAGTCCGGACACCACGAATGTGGTAGACGCTGGTGGCGTAGTGGTAGTAGAACAACCAGCGCTTGTGGTTTGGAGCCAAGTCATGGAAAGAGTCACCGTCCATTTCACCAAACATGTTGATCTTCGCCGACTCGTACAACATCTCTGTATCAACCAAGAGAAGAGGACACATTTCGACAACGCAAGCATCAAACTCGAACTTCACCATGCAATCACAACCTGGTGGGCGTTTTTCTTCATCCTCATCATCCCGGTCGCAACCAGGAGGGTATTTCATCAAGCCTTCCTTGGCAAACTGGTAAGTCTGGATTAGAGGACGGTCTTCCTTGATGAGTCCCTCCTGCTGGGCTCTAAACATTTTCTTCTGTACCTTCCCCAACCAGTCGGCCTTGGACTTCAGCTCGCGGATCCATTCACCATCCTGGTATTGTGAAAGACTAACGGACTTACTGATGACCCGGTGGAACTCCTTCCTTTCTGGATGATACTCGGTGGTAACAACGGGAACCATCAAGCCCTCCTTGCGAACAATGTCCACAGCAAACTGGCAAAAACGTTGTTCGGTAAGATAATGCTTACCGTACGACAGAACCTTCTTCTTCTCCATCTCACACACATCCTTTTCTGCGTCCAGACTAACACTTGGCGGAGTCACCCAAGTCATCTTATGGATAAGCATGACAAACCTGACTTCGAATGGAAAGGCAGGCTGCAAGTCAATCATCCCAAACTTTTCCACGAGCAAGGTGCTGCCAACCTTTGGAACGTTTTCCGGATCACTTTCGAGAAGAAGATGGAGGCTGCTATTCGTTACTGCCTTGAACAAAGTGTTGGATCCATCAAGCAACACAAACTTCATGACGGCGCTACAGGACCCATACTGATCATTGCGAAAAATCTTACACTCTTTCTTCGCCTCGACGACAACAAAGGCATGATTCTTTCCGTAAGCTGGCTGCACAGTGGGAGGAATCCACGATGCCTCGGTCCTGGTGTTCCAATACTTTGGAGGAGCACGATGATTGGCGGTAATGTGATAATCCGTCGCGAAATCAACACAAGCGTCATCATAGTGCTGGACAAGCACGGTGGGAGAAATCATTGCGTCGCGTAAGTAACAAACTCAACGGAATGGCGCAAAAGTGAGTCAACTACTCTCACTTCTTTGTTTGTCTCTCATCGAAATTCCATCGCGAGCAGGACAGCCAACAGCGATTCTGACTTCTTTTCGGAGGAAAGAAATCCATCAATTGCTGTTGCAACAACAACAGAAGATGTCGACCACTCCAACAGCAATAGCTTCCTAACAAGTCAACATCAAGACAAAGACGAAGTATGTTTGTAGACTAAGTAAAGCACGGTCTATCAGATGCACGTGGTCCTGCCACCGATGAGGCTCTATGTATGGATAACAGCTACAGGTAAGTGTGCCGACGCAAATCCCATTATCCTGACTTCGCATGCAGCAATCTCACCCATTACAGCACTGCTCATGGCAGGGTATGGTGCATCTGAAAGCTGAGAATCTACTCTTTAAGATGGAATATGGCATCTAATGGGAGAAACCTGCTTAGAATGGGTGCAACAGCACATAAAATAGACACCATGTTGTGTGATGAGATGAGATTCTTGCGTGCTGCTATCGAGCAATTTTGAAGTCCTTGGTGTTAAGATTACGAAGAGGCTGTGACATCCTTAATTAAAAATCCGAAATCAATCGAGGAACCCCCAAGAACCACGAACTGAGTTGGCAGTCTTGCTGTTTTGCAACGGTACCGGTATATGTACACGGTACACGTGATGTGACTGCTACTGCAGTACAGCTAGAGCTTGCTGTGGATGGCTGGCTGCCGGTAGCTAACTTAATTCGGTTGGGGGACCTGCCTATCCTTGAAATAGCTAGCTACATTTAGTGGCTACGAAATTGACCGATAAAGGAGTTGTCATCGATTGATGCAAGAAGTTTGCCAGGGTCAATTCCCTTGGTCATTGAGAAGACACTATCCACTATGCACCCCGAAATGAACCCCGCAGCCGATAAAGATATAAAGAAGGTAGTTGCAGGTCACCCCATTGTTCCTTCTCGATACAGCCCCGCGGACGCTGTGCACGACTTCGATTTTTAGAAGCAAGATGATAGCCAGCAGCCATGAAGGGCAACTTAGCATGGTACCGGTACATGTGGCCTTCGCATGATGCTTTTGCCGTGATAAGCTTCGGTACCGTACGTGCCCAGCCAAGATGTAGCTGTAATTCTCGTATGGTTAGGTGTGTCATGTTGTACCGGTAGCATGGTACTTGATGTTCAAAGACTTGGCATGAAACGGTTGCCCATCAATGCGTGTGATATCAAACAGGATACCATCGTTTTGGTAGGCAATGTAGAGATGGGTGTAGTCTGGAGTGAAGGCCAATCCAGTTGTTTCATCGCTGTATTCGGTGCTCTCAAGCACTGTGAAGAACAATCCGGTCTCGTCACGGCCGTGGATCCCTGCTGCATCACCTCCATCTTCCGTGAAAAAGAGAAAGTGATTATTATTCCTATCTTGCTCTCCCTCTTCTCCCGTTGTGATTATCCTTCGCAGTTGATCGGGTTCGCCACTGAAAGCCCCCGATTCGGTTGACCGACGGGTGTAAACAAATGCGTCCAGGTCCAGCTGGAACATCATTTTGATTTCCTTGCAGACAAAGTACATGATTCCGTTGTGCACATCGATCCCCTCTGTGTTGGGGTATATATCATTGGCGTTCTCCTGCGCCTCTTCTCGATTGGTTGTCCACCGAAAGGTTCCCGTGGAGCCGTCCAGAAAGCTTGGCGTTAGGACGAGGTACTCCACCGTACCATTGCCATGGAGCATCTTCCAAGGATCGCGGTCCCAATCGACTAGTTCGGGCAGGAAACGCTGCAGGGCACCGTCGCTCGTGTCTTCGGTGACAAAGAAGTATGGCAGCTCTCGATTTCGTACATCATACGCAAAGGCTTCCCAATCGCCCCCTTCCATTCCCAGAGTCAGTTTTTCCGGTGGTCGTATGCCTGCGGGATCCACCTGGTAAATGTTGCCATCTCCATCCCCGTATTCTTCGCAAGAAATCCACGAGTGCCATGGTGTCCGTCCCCCACCACAATTCATTGTAGTCCCTTCCAATACTCGTTCATACTTGACGACGAGCCCGTGCTGGTCAAAGGTAATGGCGCCCACACCACCTTCACCCTCATCGTCGTGTTCCGAATTGGACACATAGATCCACCCCCCGGGATTCCCGCTCGTGTTGGTGTCGGCAAAGACGGCTCCACCATCCGGCCAATCATGAAAGACCACCTCCGACTCGAGTTGTCGATCATTATTTTTGTTGTTGTTGGCTAATCGAGGAGCGAGAGGACTGTCGTATATGACGGGACTACCTGTCACGGCAATGACGCGTGCTGTCAGACCGGACGACAACAGCAGTCCTTCCCGTTGATTGACCAAAAGACCCGGAATGTATTCTTCTTGGAGAGGCTCAAATGTTGGTGCATCCGTTGGCGTCCATATTGGCGATGTTGTTGGAGCAAATGTTGGTGTCCATGTGGGCGATTTTGTTGTAGGTTGTGGGGTCGGAGATGGCGTTTGAATTCCTGATGGCGACACACTTGGGGGAGATGTGTCGATTACTTCGGAAGGCGGCAACGAAGTGGGCGAAGTGCTTGGCGAGAAAGTAGGAATGAGTGTGGGTGAGAAGGTTGGGCTAAGAGTTGGCTTTCCTGTGGGACCAGATGTTGGCGCCTGGGAAGGGCTCAGTGTTGGTTTGGGAGTAGGGGGTAGTGTTTCGTCAATAGGTTTAAAGGTGGGAAAGTGTGTCATGATTTCATTCGTCGAAGGTCTGAGAGTTGGGTGTAACGTTGGGTGTAACGTTGTAGATTCTATCAGGAATCCTTGATTGTTAGGTTGAAATGTTGGAGATGTTGTGACAGGCATAGCTGTTGGCTGGTTCTCTGTATTCTCATCAGGCACTGTCGCGTCATTCCCGCACCCCCAAAACAAGGTTGACGACAAGAAGGTCAATGGCTTGCTTCTTCCAATACACAACGTAGGGGCCTGGCTGGAAGAAGCTCCCGTTGTACTAGCAGGGGCGAAAGTTGGGAATCTGCTGGAGGAGAGGAACGGTGCAGGCGAAGGATCAGGTGTGAATTCGGCACCAACGGTATCTTGATCCAGGTCTGGATTTTCTTGGATTCCCGAAGAGCTCTGATTTCCCCGAGACGACGAGAGTGATACCGGAATGATAATCACCAACAATACCACAACCGCACAGAACACCCATCCCAGTAGATAGCGAGGGCGGCTCCTCCTTTCTCCTTCCACTCGCAATTCTCTGCGTCCAGCATTCCAACAACCCCAAAAAGAGAAGAACCCAAATCTTCCACCGCCACTTTCACCAGGATCATCCAAGGAATCAGGAGGGTCGTTGAGACTCTTGTAGAAGGATGGTGGCATCGAAGATTTTTCGTACTTGGAGGGGCTGATGATACATGTACTGAACACAGAGAATACATAGAAGGACCAATGGCCAAAAATGAGACGACGAGACGAAGGGAGGAATCTTTCGTGTGAATGACGAATGCTCGCAGTCCCGTGAGCGTGAATGGGAACGTGTGCGTTGAATGGAAGTTTCCTCACTTTCGCTGAAACAGCGGCCCAACCACGTGCAAACCGTGTGCCCCTCTACGTACACAGAATAAGGCTGCTACCACCGGGTTGGAGAGCAGAATACAACTAACTACAGTCTGCAACCAACTATTAATACTAGCTAGGGAGCCAGGGAAAGGGAGCTCCCGGTGGAGGCAAAAATTGCAAAACTGTTTAAAATAAGCTAATCATCTCTTTTATGATGAAAACATGTATGTAGCCAAAACTGGAAGGGAAAGTGAGAGTCCCTTTACTGCCGTTTCCTTGCAGCAGGAGTATCAAGCCGCTGCTGAAGTGATCCGGTTGGAATGCAACATGATGTAAGCATTCAAGAGAATGTCCCCTACTTCTGAAGAACCAATGAGCCGTTGCCCATTCTGGGAGGTTTTCAACTGATCCACGTGACGTTGGATCTGAGTGGCCAGTTCCATCGCCAGAGGCACGTTGCCCCAACAATCGTAGTAGATCTGGGCTTGGTTGTTGAGGCAAACAACCGTCATGATGGTTTTAGCGCCCAATGGATGATGGTCGGGCAGCAGTCTTGGGATCATCCGCGTCACACAGAGATTGTACAAGTTGCATGCCTTTTGCAGATGCTGTGCACTCTGGAATTGCATGCCCAACGAGTGGCATGCCAAGCCGAGATTGAAGAGAATGGCGGTAACGATGGCGTTGGTGTCACTGGCATTCATGGGTTGGTGGTGGTCTCCTGTGGTAGGACGATGAAACATCACCTGAAAGGCACAATTGTGAACATGAAGGATGGATTCGTCAGCCCGTTGACCAAGAGGGGGGAGAGGCACTGAAACCAATCTGAGCTTGGATGGAGCCGCTAAGTCTTCTTCAATGTCCATCGCTGGTACTGTGTTCGTTCTGATACGAGCCAGTTCCACAGCATTTGCAAAGAAGCGAACTGCTCCTCGCATATCCTTTACCTTCAAACGGTCGATACCCTCCTGATTGAGGCGCACAAGTGTGCGGAGGAATTCATCATGCTCAGCGGCACTGTTGGGTGGGCTGAAATTCATGGTCAGAATTTCAATAGGGGAAGGCAGTCAACGTTACTGGTGCCGCTGATAGGTGGGGAAAAGTAAAAATGAAATGAAATGGAACGCAGAAGGTGAGTGCACGGCAATCTTGGGAAACGAATGCTACAATGTACCGAGAGCTTGTGGGAAGATAGATGACGGAAAGCTGATCGTCGATCGTCGAAGACCACATGTCCACCGCACCTAGTAACGTCGCTGTGTTAATACCTGTGGACAAGACATGACATAAAAAAGAAACTAACCGTTTTAACTCTTTTTCTCGATGGTCGTTTTTGGAGAAGAAAAAGAGGACTTTGTTCCTCTGACGCCTCCAAAATGATTCATTGGACTGTACAGCAATTCACAGTGGAGCTCAGTGGCTACAACTAGGACCAACTACGTACTTAAATGCAGCTTGCATAGATGCACGTGTATGACCACCAGAGCTGATTGGATCTCTCACTAAGATTTTGTGTACGGTGCGCCTTCTTCGGTGAAAGTTTAAAACAAAGTGGGATTTAACTACCAGGTGTGATATTATATCCACAATTCGGAGCAGTACTAGCTAGTTGGGTTTCCCTTTCTGCTTCCGTTTTGGCTTCATTCGCTTGATCAATTGCCAGATAAATAATGCGGTATTGAAGTCAGCAGCCACTAGTCAACGGCTATGAATCGAAGTGCACCACACAGGCCGGAAACAAGAGCATAACAGAGAAGTGGCTAGTCACATGTAGTTGATTGGATATATAGGTATTCATGTCGGTTAAATAATTACCAGAACTCCAATACGTGACCAATACTGCCACTGAGGAACACCAAAGAACATCTAGATACCAAACCTGTTAAACCGTACTCGCTGCAATTCATAGACGCACAGGCGATCCCACATACATGACTCATACTTTGAAGAGATCGCTGACCAAAACAGCGAGTGACTCATTCGCCGAGTGGACTCATTGGATTCAATCAATGGCATGCACCAATCGAAGAACCTCACCACGCACAATACATTCCGGAACAGACATATCAAGCTTCCTCCTCTGCATCACTAGTAGATTGTCGAGTAAGAGTCTGAGTCATCATGAGTGAACTTGCAAGAGAACGGCGAACATGAGCCTTGGATGTTCCAGCCGATGTTCCAGTGACAGAAGAGGTCACAGAGAAGACAGGAGACTGGCAGAGAGGAACATCAATGGGAGGGCTATCACCACCGGATTCGGATGCTGCCGAGTTGCTTCCCATAGGACTACAGAACAGAGTGGTGCTCTTCTTGCGAACTTCAACCGGAGGAAGCTTCGCCATGGGGTGATCCCCATCAATGGTATCGTCCGTGACCCTGGAACGATTTGACATTGGAGGCAAATGCTGTCGCTTTCCAGATCCAAGGGAATCGGATGGTGTCGCACGCTTCTTTGGAGTCATTTGTCGAGTACTTGGAGTGGACACAGAAGGCTTCGCAGATGGCTTACGGTCCTCTTCTTCTACCTCCTCTTCTTCTACCTCCTCTTCTTCTACCTCCTCTTCTTCTACCTCCTCTTCTTCTACCTCCTCTTCACTTCCATCGGCTTCATCATGGTCGTCGTTGTTGTCTTGCACATCGTCGGCGCCATTCTGTCCATCGGCATCGTCGTCGCTCTGCTCGCTGTCAGTGGCATCTTGTTGGGTAATCCAATCGACAGAGCTGGCGTGGTCATCCAAGGCCGAGTCATCATCTGAAGGAGGGTGGCGCAGGAAGTATGGATCCATACCACACCGATGCATGGTATGGTTCAAGTAATTCTCCGGCGTCCGACAAAGGTACCCCATGCGATGGTCATCGTAAGTCTGACTTTCAATATCCTCGTTGGTCAGTCGAACCAAAGGAATGCAGGTGAAACCCTTCCATGGGTAGCAGGCATCGAAGGAAAGCTTGCGACGATGAAACTCAAAGCGGGACCACTTCATGGCACGGCAGATGATAGGCCATTCACGAGGACGCGAAGTGATTTCCATCAAGAAGAGACGAAGCTTCTCATGGAAAATAGTGGAATACTCCTTCGGAACACCACAGAGATCAATCTTTTGGCCGACGGGTGGCAAAGGATAGTCACCTTCCTGACCATGGTAAAAGGGGTATTCCTCCAATTCCTTTTGTTTGTTGAACATCCACGCAAGGGTCATGTCAAGACTTTCACGAGTGACATCATCAACCTCAGACCACCCACCAAGCACACGTTCAGGCAAGTCAATGCGGTACAAGTTGTCACCGAGATGACCGAGGTGGGCGTGACGAAGTGAGCGAATCCCAAGGAGAGTCTTCTCTTGCTTGCGAACCAAAGCAAGGACGGCATCGTCGATGGGAAATTCATCGATGGGATCTTCTGGAAGCTCACGGCGTGCAACCATTGGCTGAGAGACTGGGCCAGTGATGGTGTCGGTCTTCTTGGACAAAGAAGGAAGAGTACGATGACCTGGAGAGCTTCGATCCGCGTCACACTGGAGAACGATAAAGTTGGCAACCGAGGAACAGGTGCCGAACGAGAACGAGCCACAGCCACCTGGGTACTTCCACTGGCAGTCCCTTGACGTTCGACGAGTTGACGAGCAATGACAAAGCCAGGAAACTTTCCAGCAGTGGTCATCTTCGCGAAGCCTGCTCGCTTCACCAAGGGCTTCTTCGGGGGCGAAGGGGTATGACGATGTTCACGGTACGGGGACGGTCGGCCATGGTGAATGGTTGTTGAAAGGAAAACAGCAACGAAGGAATATTTCGAAAGTGGTTCAGGGAGGCTGTTCCGCCGAATTATGAACTATTTGTGGCAACCAAACGGTCGTGTCGGATCTGGTCAAACGGGACGTCCAATCGGTTTGTACATACTCAACAACAATGTATTGCTCACTTGCCATCTTGCACGTCGCTATGGTCACCGCGGGACCTGAGGATAGATGGTTTAGCCACTGTCAAGGAAGTAAGAGTGCATTCCAGCAATCTTCCGAAAGCACAGCCCGTCGCAGCAATCTAAGTAATATATGTTGCTTATCTGTTACATACTGCCGTTCCGACGTTTCGTGCTCCAGCCTGCGTCATGAAAAGAGCAACGCACCAAAGGCTGAAGCCGACATGCTGACGACGGTAAGATCGACATGCTGACGACGGTAAGATCGGTGCGTCAACTTCATTTTTTCGATACAGATGCGTACGGCTCACTGCTCTTGTTTCGTTGACTCTGCAGAGCTACTTGCTGGTTACGACGGTACAGTGGTCCATCTTTGATGAATAGTAGGAGTTCTTGAGTGCACATGGAGTCCTCGACGTTCTTGCTGGTGCTGTGGACTTCTTGGAAGCGGGACCTCTGGCTATCTGAAACGGTCAAACCAAGATAATTCACTGCCTGCACTTTGTGTTCAATGGAAAGGCTACTAACGAAATCAGCCTTTGTGTCCAGCATCTTTGGAGTCTTCCGGGCCACTCAACCATTCTTGAGAAGTCCCCCAGTATACATTCCTTCTCTGCGGCCTCTTCCCTGTGCTTTATATCCTCGCTGTCTTGTGTTGCTTGGGACCTTCCTCATATCCTCAACCTCGACATCGAATTGTCCGTATCTGCTTCGGAGCACAGCTGCCGCTGGACAGTTATAGCCATTCCTTTTCCGACAATCTTCACAGTCACCAACGATGGCATTATCTTCAGTTCGCATGGTAAGAACGCAACAATTTCTTGTGACTGTAATCATTTTACGTGCCGTAACATCCCGCCCTTGTCCGGTCTCTGAATACAAATCGTCGAAAGGCTCATCGTCCCCTTGGAGCGAAGAACTTACAAGAGCGATCCTTTCCTTGGTCAAAGGATTCCGATTCGAAATCCTGTGTTGGCAATCCATGCAGTTGGTACTCCCATTCCGTTGGACGAAATTGGAACGATGTCTCTACCAAATTCGACAAACGTTGTTGTGATGAGACATATTAGGGAACACGTTCGCGGGATAATGATTGTGCATGGATCGTCTCTATCCATGGCATCCCTTCTCAACAGACTAACCAAGGTGTCAACCAGCAGACGAGCAAGGGATACATTCAATTCCACAGGGGAGTCCTTGGCTTTGATTGCGTGGTGGTTGTGACTTTCATTGCTGCAGTTGCTGCACGGCACTCCACAGTGACCGGTGCAAGCATAATTATGATTCGCGTAAGGTCCAGTCGCGTACATTCGAAGAAAATGTTCCGCTGCTTCTGGTTCCTGTCGCTCTTCCGACCAGTGTCGGAGCACAAGTTCTGTAACTTTGGCTCGCTGTTGGATTGTCTTGCAGTGGTGAATGAGTTGGATTTGTCGGTATGCCTCTGACTTAACGTTGCCTTCATTCTTGTTTGTTCTGGCGAACGTTCGATCTTTGAATTTCTTAACAAAGCCATCATTCTTCGCGAAGTGCTGCATCACATGGAAGTAACAAAGAGTTGTTGCATGTACATGCGGTGGAATCTTTGCTTGTTCCCTCCATGCAATCCAGTCAATGGTGGGACATACCATGGATGCGTTCGAGCTCACGGTTTGTTCGGGCATCATGGCGAGGGATGCTTTGGGCAATCTTGCATCGGTCTGTTCCTTCGGCACTTCCAATTCAATGATGATGTCTTCCTTGGCAACCCTGCCAGCTGGTACGGTACCATCACAACAAGCTGGATGATTGTGAAAGTACCTGTGTGCCTTGATGAAAGCGTCGGCACGATCGGATGTGCCCCAGTCCAACTGGAAGTCAACATTGAAGAGTTTCCAGCAGATGTTTCGAAGAACGTACAATGTGAGACAATAAGGGTAAAACCTTTCAGCACCGACATGCAAATATGCGATTGGTCTCAATGATGCTGTGACCTGTCCTTGTGTCTCCCTTTCTTTTACAGACAGTGCTCCAATAACGACAAGGGTACTCATATCAACACAATGCCCCCTGTGCCGTCTGCACAGTTTGTCTTGTTCCTTCCTTGCGCATTGCGAGGTTAAGCAACATGAACAGACCGGTTGGAGACGTCGCGAAAAATGCTTGTTCCATTTTTTCCTTGTATTCTGTTCTCTTGCTTTCGGTATTTACTTCCATAGCCTTTGCAAAGTGACTATTCACCTCTCCAAAGGTTAGATCGAAGATGAACATGTCGTCAACGTTCGCGTGAAGTGCCTCGCCAGTTCATCCGCGGTCTCGAAGCATCTTGCCCTGAATCCAGGTGGTACGTCCAACCTCCAGTTCTGTAATGCTTTGTATAGATTGTAAGCATTGTCCAACCTACGCGCTTTACCCAATTGCGAATCCATATATTTGATCTTTTGGTGGTCCGTGTAACTCCTGAGTTGTGCCTTGAGATGCTCTCGGAAGTCCGGTTGAAGAAGATACGTGTATGTATACAGTGGATGACTGTCGTTATTGCTGCGTCTGCTGCACTCAATTGCTTGGGTTAGTGCTTGTCGAATCTCTTCAGGTCGGATCTTTAGGATGCATCGGTTCTTGACACTGTGTTCATGCTGGACCATTGATTGGATGAAGCTCTGTACAGCAAAAGGTAGTCCGTGTTGCTCCTGTGGTGATTTTGGATGCTGTTTCATGGGATGATTATGCTGTAAGAAGCTCTTTGAGAAGACTGTGAACGTCTCTCGGTCCTCCACTGTTTGCTTCCTTATCTGGCATCGCCACTTGCATTTTACAGGTATGCCGGTTTGTTGCTGCATCCTGGTGGCAATGCAGTGGTACTTGTATTTTGTGCAGTTGCTTCCTCTCTCGGTGCCATCTGCCTTGATGCAGTAATCATCCATGTAATAGCCCCCATAATATCTAGACACTTCGGCCTGAGCATCGTTGAGTGTCTCGCATGGCTTGCATAGTGTATCTTGTATAAAGTTCGACAGCCTGCTAGGTGCTTTCTTTGTTTGTACTATCTCTCGTGGCGTCGAGGCGGTGCGATCAACGTACCCTCCTCCCGAGTTACCAGTGTAATATGTTTGCCAATGCTGTCGGGGATCCCGATACCCTTGATTCCACTGACTGCTAGGCCATTGTCGCGACATGTCTAGACTATTTTACTTCTATCAACTAAACTATCATCAACAACATCCACAAATAACCATTCTTGTTGCATTGATGGGAGTCTGCGGGAGGAATTTTCGAAATTCCACCCAAATTCTAGAACGTTCCTTTGGATGTTCTAGAAACTTCCTGCCTTCGGCCTTTTGAATCGAATGAAATCAATGCTCGCCAACTCCATCCTCGTGCATGCATGGCCTTTGTATTGTATTCCATGCATTTTTTCGTTGGTTTGAAAGGTGCGCCAACTGGTTGGAGGTAGAAAATTTGGTGAGGGGCTGCCTTTCGGGCGGGAGAATCTTCCCCTTTTTCAGCCTCCGTTTTTCATTCCTCGACCTTTTGTTATCCCAATGTAAGTGCGACCATGGTGTTCTGTTTTTGTTGTTCTTGCCGTATTCCCTTTCTAACCTTTCGATGTTCTCTCCTGTGCTTTTCCTTCACTACAGATATCCCTTCACACCACTCTTCTCCATTTTCATTCCTTCAAGATCAACATCTCACGAAAGAATTCTATGGCGATCGCCTCTTCATTCCTGCACCGATGGTTGCAGCTGGGCATTATCCTTTTCCTCCCTTTCCCGTCCTCCCTTTCCCGTCCTTGTGCCTTCCACGGCCTTGATCATGGTGTTTTGGTGCTACGGTTGTTGTTGCCGTGGCTGGTTGGTGTCATGTCCATGGTGACTGTTGCGCGGTGGTGCCGTGGTGTCACCAAGAACAGTCGAGGATGTAAGTCTTTTATTCGTGACTGGACTCCTTTTTGTCTTGGAGTGTTGTTTCATGCCTCGTGTTTAAGTCCATGTGTTTCCTTGTTAAATCTCACATGTTTTGTTTCATGTGCTCGGGACTGGTCGGCCTCATGTGGGTCGCCAGGAGTTCACCAGGTCCCGGACACAATTATGAGCAATTGGCAAGGGTACCTGCAGGCCTGCAGGTTCTGTGCATTCCAATGGAAGTTAATTTGTTAATTTTGTGGAGACCTCTCTAATAAGTGTAACTGGAGGTTAGAAACAATTATGAGCTATTGGCTTGAGCAGGTACTGTCAACTGTCAACCAATGGTGGTTTACATTGGTAACCGTACCGGTAGAGGAGTCGAGTCACTCCAATCTAGTCATGCAAGCCGGCTGATGGACCAGTTTTTATAATTGTGAAGCTCCAATGATGAGGAGTTCAGGAGTTCAGGAGCACATGTAGCTTGTCGTGGGACCAGGAGTGAGGACTGGTGCTGGGCCTGGAGGGGTTCTTGGTGTTTGCCAGGCATATAGCATGGCTGATAGTACCGGTACAAGAGAGGAAGAGAGCGAACTATGGGATGCATGTTACTAGATTGGTCACCCATAGGCCGCACTATGTTGCCATAGCTGTTGCCATCACCTCTCTGCTACCGGTATCCACTGCGATACAACAGCATCTGTACCGGGCAGGTGATGTGGCCAGGTCCAAAAATCTATGACAGGATCGATTGAATCAATAACTTTCGTCGATCCGATCCTCAAAATCATTCATCCACTCCTGCGATCCAGCCAAACGGGAATAATTAACGGCATTCCCATTATAAATGCATCGCCAGATGCGTACGCAGTGTCGGTAACCAGAGCTATCGGCATGCAGTATGGGTGCCGGTTAAACGCTCACAAAAATCATGATGATCGTGCAAAATCTTCCCTTTCCAAAACCAAGCTCATAAAACCAAAACACAAACACAAAACCAAAACCAAACACAAAGCAAAGCAAACCAAAACAACTAACCCAAGCATAAACACAAACACAAACAACCATGCCCATGAACAACAACAAAATCACCAAAAGAGCCAACAAAATGGAAGGAATGATCCAAGCTTCTGTCAAACTACTGGAAAAGTGGGAATTTCAAGAGAGGCTCTCCCCCAAGGTGGTCCAACACGCCCATGGGATTGCCATTCTCGAAATCATTCAAGCTGGCTTTCTTTTTAATGGTCAAATAGGCACCGGTGTTCTTCTCCGACACGACAAGACCACCAATACGTGGGGCCATCCTTTGGCCATTGGCCTGACGGGAGCCGGCGCCGGCATTTCCTTGGGAGCCGAAAAGAAACACATTGCAATCTTTCTCACCAGGGAACAAATGACACAGGCCATGGCAAGTGACTTTTCTCTTCGACTGGGACTCCAAACCTCCTTGGTAGTCATGGATGCGGGGGAAGAAATGGACCTGACGGCTCATGTTGGCAACAAGGGGTCTGGCGTGTCATCCGCCTATGCGTCCACACTTGGGTTCTACCTGGGCGTGGAAGCGAATGGTTCCGTGTTGGCTCCCCGAAAGGCTGTCAATGAAGCATTTTATGGTGCCAAGCTGACACCGAAAAAGATTGTGTTCGGACAAGTGGAGGATGCACCTGCGTGCGAAGCTTTGGATCAATTGCGAACCAAGTTGTTGGAGCTATCCGAAGCCCCTGCAGCGGGACCTTCCTATGCGGAAACGATTGCTCATCCATTCCTCAAGACGACGAAACATACCAACAAAACAATGGGCAACAGCCAATCATCGGTAAAAAAGGAGGAGGAGGAAGATCCAATAGGCAAGGACGACAATAAGAAGACTGGCTCTGAGGACGATTCTGGCACGAAGCAATTCAAGGAACACTGGATGTACCAACACCCGTACGTGAGCAAACCAAAGTGCAGCAGCAAATTCCAATTGTCCCGGTCTCCCCTTGTCGACGGCCAGCAATTAAAACGAGAGGATCCCGAGCATTTGGCAACGGGTAGCACACGTGTCGACCACGACGACGAAACAATGCGGACCGAATGGATGTACAGCCACCCTTACGTGACAACAACAACAACAAGCGCCAACACACAAACGTGCCATGTAAAAGATGACGACACTGTTGAGACGGCCGTGGCAGAATAAAACGGGCCTTCGTCAAAATAATACATAGATGTAAATGAATGATTGTAATTAATGAAATTGTTGCGTGTGATTTTGTTTGTCACTTATTACTGGACAACTAATAAGTGTCGATTCATTACATAGATGGATTGGTGTTCACCGCTCCATCATAAAAAGCATTCTGACTTCCTCGATAAATTTTCGGTCCTTCTGTTTGACGTCGGCAGCATCATCATCCGCATTGTTGTCGACCAAATTTTCCGTTTCACCTTGTTTCTTCTTTTTGGAGATCAATGCCGCGGCTTCCATGGCTTGAATGACTTTTTGCTTTTGTTCGTCACTGAGTTTTTCCACTAGGATGGGAAAGAATTTAGTGGCCTTTCTTCGATAGAGTGAAATTCGCTCCATGTACTTGCCCCGGTCCAAGACGTGTTTTTCCGATAGTGTGCTTTCGTTTGGAGCAAACTTGACGTATTCCTCATGTACCAATTGCGCTTCCTTTTGCGACCATCGGTAGAGCAATTTCCGGGCCACTTTGTATCGCATGCGCACTTCAATCATGGCCGTCAACAAAATATACTCGAATGCTCCTCGGGCACTCATGGATTCAAAATTGGAACGCTGGAATACACTTTTGCAAGCGTTGCACTTGGTATAGGGGACCATGTTTTCCGTGGCGTGCTCGTCCGTTTCCTTGTGGACTTTAATGCCCACCACCGACACGGTATGCCAGCTTTCCTTCTCCTTGCAAGAAGTCACCGATCGGCACGTCGGACAAAAAGTGTCTCTTTCCCGGACATTGTAGGCTCGGTATTCCATCGATATCGGAATCAGCCAGTCAATGATTGGAATGGGCACCATGGCAAAGTGGCCGCGTCCAGCGCAGCGGTTGTGGGGCATATTGATTACTTAGTTTTAAATTGAAGCTTGGGTTGGATGGGTAGTAATGGTCAGTCTGACCTGATGAGAGTGATGTATGTAGCGGTCATGGGAAATGGCATCAATGATCAGCGGAAGACAAGACCACCAAGCTAAGACACCGCACAGCGAGAAAGCTATTCAGGAAGGTCCCGCAGAACATGAAAATCTGAAATTGGATTCATCACTAATTAAACATTTTCATCACCATTCATCACGGATTCATCATTTTCATCACCTTTCATCACGATTCAACACATTGGTGATGAATTCATCACGATTCAACATATTGGTGATGAATTCATCACCATTCATCACCATTCATCATTTCCTATAGTGAAACAGTACTAAATTTCATCATGATTCATCACCATTCATCACGGATTCATCATTTTCATCACCAGTCATCATGGATTCATCATTTTCATCACCATTCATCACGATTCAACAAATTGGTGATGAATTCATCACCAGTCAACATATTAATCAATAATTAATCATATTTACAATATTTCTTCATTTGCGGGACCTTGCAGGATTCATCATTCAAGATACCCCAACCAAGCTAACAGAGCTGAAAAAGGATACCGTACCGTACGTGATCGACTTCACCTTGAGTGACTGCGTGAGTCACAAGTCATTCGGGGAAGGAAGTCAATTCCTGCGAAACTGCCAAACATTTTGAGTGACGGTTCAAATTCTCGGGACGAGAAAACGCTTTGGGGTCCACAATCTCATTTGACCTACTGATACGTATTTCTATTCTTGCTTCTACCCCATGCTTCATTTCCCTCGGAGAGAAGCTCACAAGAACATCGACGACACCATCGCACCAGCTGGAGACGAATCGAATCGACTCGACCATGATGGGGCTGTCCCTTTCGACGTCGCCGCATCCCAAGTTTCCATCAAACCTTGGTCGATTCTTTGGAGGAAAGTACAACGCAAAAGGCTCTTCTCTCTAGAAACTGAGTCAATCCATCGACAAAAGAAGGACGACAACAGCTGCTGTGTAACAAGCTGCTACCAATTCCGCCAACGGCAAACTTCTCGACGAAGGAAGGCATGATCTCATGTGATACATCTGGAGTGAGAAAGAGAGAACCGATTGGCAGCACCAGCTCAGACGACTATGACCTTCTTGGCCAATACCAGTGGCTGTAGTTGGCATTCAAGACTGGTGATGGTAAAGGAAGAATTAGGCGATGATAATGAATGTATTCTTGGTGGTCGTACCTGCTGGACTATAGGAAGGCCGGAGTGTCCCCAGCCATGACTGCATGCTGTAATGCTGTAGCAGAAGCAGCTGGAGATGCAATACCGGTTAATCCAGTGCAGCTTGCTCAGCCATCAACCAAACTGCCCAAGGAAGAGGCCAAATCCGCCAAAAAAGAAAAGGAGCCAAGCACAGAAAAAGATCGCAGTATTCGCTCATACCACGAACAAGCACCAGCAGACAGCAAAACCAACTGCTTTGCTTCTATCATCCATACATGTACAAATACTAAAGTAGCCAAAAGACTGCACTGCACCGAACACCGAAGCCAAACCAATACCACCATCTGAACCGAACTGAACTACTAACTACTGTACCAACTGCCAAGGCCAGAACTAAGAAGTGCAGCTGCAAAAAGGATTCCAAAAAGACCTCTCATAATGTTTCTGTCTCTCCCCAATATATTTTCCCATCACTCCTTCTCGTTGTTGACGGGCGGTGCACCATACAGTCCTTGGAGCTCGACAAAAGCAACACCAACATTCACTACTACCAGCCACAACAACACTATGGGCAATGCCAACGTGAGTCATCGTGTGGAAACCCTCGCCGTGTCATCTGCCATGGACATGGAACGGGCCATGGCGTCCACGACACTGCCCAAGCGCATTGATCTACAAGCCAACTTGTTGACACACGCCAAAGGCGCCACGGTGGAGCGTCTATTGCGGCGTGTCGGGTGTCACGAATTGTGTATCCAAGGCAAGAGCAGCAGTACGGCGGCTCCTCGTCGTCTCTTTGAACCAGAGGTCGTTCGAGCCATTGGTCACGTCAAGCAAAGTCGTTTGCAGAAATTGATTCTCAAGAATCTCGATATCCAGCGCGGTGATAACGATCATCACTCGGGTCCAAACCGTAGTGTGGATCCGTTGGAATGCATGGCACACCGATTGAGCAAATTGACTCATTTGGAAGAATTGCACCTGCAGTCCTGTCGCATTGACGAATCCATCTTGGAGGATATTCTCATTAGCATCAAGCAATTGCCCCATCTCAAGCAAGTCACCATCAATCTCAGAGATCACATTACCAATCGACGACTGCGCGCACAACTGGAGCATGTCGCCTCCGAGTTGGTCGCACGACCTCAAATGACATCCATGGCGCTGTCCGAATACCCGCTCCAGAGTTGCTTTTGGAAGAATGTCGCCGTGTCGGACAGTCTGACACACCTCAGTTTGGCATTGCGTCATGACGATCAACTGTCACTGTTGCATCCACATCAACGACAGTACTTTTGGGATTTGTTGCAACAAAACAAATCCATTCAACAGCTCGAGTTCCAAGTGGCGGCCGGAGTGTCCCTCACAAACCTCCAAGAAATGTTGGCGGACAACAGCACCGTCACATCCTTGCTCTTGCATTTGGAAGAAGATCCCACACATGTCTCCCAGTGGCTCTCACAAGTTCTCGAGTATGATAACTTCACACTCGAAAAGGTCCATTTGTTGTGTCACAATCTCTACGGATACAAGGTCCGCATCCCCAACCGACAGATTGACTTTTACACGCGTCTCAATCGCAATGGACGCCGCAAGTTGGTCGGCGACGATGCCAACTCTACCCGCAGTCAAGAATGGGTGACAGCCTTGTCGCAAAACACCTACGATGTCTCGTCCACCTACTATTGGTTGCAAGCTCATCCCCAACTGGTCACCCGAGCCATTGTGGCGGCTACTACTACTACAGACAACTAAGTATGCAGGCGACGGCAGCAGCAGCGGAACAGCATAATGGCAGATTACAAACGAGCCGGCTGTTTCATCGGAAGCCGAGAGGAATCCAGGAGGACCTGATACTGGATGCCAACATTATTTGGTCAAGCTGCTACCGCTATTTCGAAGGATCAGGTTGTTTTTGAGTAGAGAGAGATGAGCTGAGGAATCGACGAGTGCTTGAGGTTGGGACCGAGATGAAAACGTGTACTATTGGATGGTACAGATGAGGTAGACCCAAAGGCAGACAGAGGAGGCAGATAGTTACCATATCATTTGTGGAGCGGTCAGTTAGTTGGTTGTTGCTGCGTGATCATGGCTCTCGGTTGGCTAATTTATCCGAATCAAAAGAAGGATGAATCCACCGAAATCGACACGATCATACGAGTTTAGGAGAAAGAGATACTGAACTCCGGCAACGTCGCCGCTGGCAGGCTCTGTTTGAGATGATGTAGGTACCTTTGGCAAGAGGACGTGTACAGACTTGTAGATATGGTTGGGTGCGCAGAACGAGAGGACAAGGACGAGGGTATTGCGTGTTGGTGGGTGGTCAAAAGGTGCGCAAGCACTCGAGACAAAAGCAGAGATGCTGCCCCGACGGATCCAGGAGGACCAGATACTGGATCAACCAACCACAAGCAATTCCACTTTGTACATATTGCACATATCCGGCAGGAAAGCAGACCAAAAACGAGCACTGCTGGAGACAACGGTGCGGCTACGGAAGCCGCACAACGCACCACGATGTATAGATAACCTAGATAATAATAGACGATTGAGATTCATAAATAACCATTTGCGGTAAGTCGGCTTTGTTTAGGATATTGTCGGCAAAACGTCTGTTATTTGGGCTGGAAGATCGGTGGGGTGCTTTGTTGGGTGCCGATTTCAAACGGCAAGCAACAGAAGAAACGATCTCAATCAAACCGACGATGCACGGAGCAACTTGCTTCATTATAGTTTATGCGCGCGGTGTCCTCCGCTGCTTCTTCTATTGTTGTTGCTGCCGTGCCCTGCCCCTGTTCTCTGACCAGATCCTCGGTACATTCCGTCCATCCTTTCTAGCAAGATTCTACGGTGCTGCCACTGGCTCGAGCGAATGGGGATCGAAATCAAAGAAGAAAATCGAAATCAAAGAAGCCAGGCATCCCGGCAGCGGTGGTCCCCGTGTACTCACCAAAGAGGGGCACCAAGAACACATCCTCGGCGGCCTCTTTGCCCGTGTCGAAGATGGGCTCAAAGAACACATATTCCGCGGGCTCTGTGCACTCATCAAAGATGGACACTACGAACACATAATCGGCTGCCTCTGTGCATTCATCAAAGATGGATGCCAAGAACACATATTCGGCAGGCTCCGTGCATTCGTCAAAGACGGATACCAAGAACACGTACTCGGCGGGCTCTTCCTGGACCTTTTGTTTCTCCTGTTCCTCGTCGCTATCAGCCTCGTTTTCGTCATCGCCACATATGACTGCCTTTCGTCGCTGCATGAATGCCTGAAAATCTTGCAAATCCTCCTCGGTGGCCACGGGATAATCACTGGCGTCGCTCATTTGATAGCAGTCGTCCGTGAGGTAATCGTAATACTCGTGATGGTCACATCCGCAGTCTTCCGCCTCATCTTCGCAGTTCCAGCAGTAAATGTATCCACACAAACAGGCCGTGGCTTGGAGACTGTCGTCTCCTTCACGCACTGACCACATCCCACAGTTGCTGCACTCACGAGCCTCATTGTCGTCCAACCACGTTTGAGTGAAATCATCGACAATGGCGGCGTCCTCGGGCGTCAGCTTTTGGCTGACCCGCTCGTACGGTCGTCCCATGATTTCAGCAATGGCGTCGGGGTGAATCTCCTGTCGGCAGTGGGGACAAGTGGCTTCATCGTGGCCATTTCCCTCGCAGCGTTCGATCCAATTGGTGATGCACGAATGACAGGCACCGTGGTTACAGGGGAGCGTCAACAATGTCTTGCTGGAGCTTGTGGCGGCAGTAGTAGCCGTAGTGGTTGTAGCAGGAGTAGTAGTCGAGTCATTGGCGGTTTGCTCCCAACAGACCATGCACGTCATGCTCTCGTCGTCGTCGTCCTCGCTGTCGGGGAGCGTGGAAGGGGAATGTGGCTTTGTCACCGGCTCGACGCCTTCTTCGTTTGTTGTTGGCGTTGTCATGATGGTTGGTGTCTCCGTGATGCAGGCCATTTTGGATCCCATTGCTGTTGTTTCATTCGATTGACAAGGTGTGGTTTGAGTTAGACGTACTTTTAGTTTGGTTGTTGTCTCACTCTGTTTTTGCTTGGATTTGTGGAGAAGAGGCCCGAGGGGCGGGCTGCTGTTCATCACAAACGTGCACGGGATTTGAAAAATCCTTGGTTCGAGGACGACTTCTCGACCCGACTCAACCAAAACCAATGCTGCTAAATGCAATGATTGGGCGTGCGCTCTAGAACACTGGTCGGTACGGTACATGTACTATCACCATGGTACAGTAGGAGGGGCCTCCTCTGGACTGCCTGTTTGGCAATATTGGTGACTGGGCCGTCTTTGTTGCCGAGTGTTCGGAGCTACCGTAGTACGTGTTACTCTCAGTCTACTATTATAGCCACCGGTACTTGTAGTAGTAGTACTAGCTTCACTGATGCCGACACCGTCCGCTTTGGCTACATCAGGAAGGACAACCAAGACATAAGGATGCCAGGAGATCACACGTTAACCCTCTTTGATTAACAGTATAAATCTATGGTTGGCTAGAGTTCGAGGCAGAGAGTGCACGCTTACAAAGTGGTTCCAGGTGGTAGTACGGTGTTTCCCGCCAGCAAGCCCACCACAATCATCAAAGCAATTATCAACATTTGTTCAAACTTGAGTCATGGGATTAATGAGTTTGTGAGACGCGGCATTGCCACCCATTTCTTCTCGAATGCCAGCCAATAGGAGGTTGGTTGATTGGACTCACCTGTGCTGTTCCAAGCTCTGCTTGTCCCTCTATCACATGGAAAAGTCCTTGAAAACCAATGCTGCCACTGACCTGCAACACAAGAGAGGGGACAAGGACCAGTGAAGCCGGCCGATTCATGAGTTTTGCCCATCCGTTTGCTATCACAACAAGGACCACTGTGGACAAAAACACCCCAAGATTGTTGGCCTTCAGCCTGCTGAAGCCATAGAATGACCCGTAGGTCACTCCCATGATTAGCAATGCCCATGGGGCATCTCGAGTGCCAACTTGGAAGACAAAGATTAAGCTGATGCAGATAAGTGGCACAAACAGAGCCTGCCATGCCATCGGAAGTGACTCAGTCTCATTTTCGTTCGAGGGTACATTGGCCACCGCATTGATAAAGGAAAACCCAAGCCATGCTCCCACAACTTGCCAAATGAGCACAAGCAAACCATTGGCCAACTTGGCAAAGCCGGACACAATTCTGTTGGCAACGATCTCTGCCACTCCCACCGACACTGTATATCCAGGAATAAGGATGGCGATAGCACTTAAAGTGCAGATTCCCACATTTAAATCTTCCAATCCAAGTTGCACCAGGCTGGCAAAGGCAGCTGTCACAAAGCCAGCCACGAGGTGTATCCATTTTGTAAAAGCACCGTGGTTGCCAATTTTGGGTAGTATCAGCACCACAAGAAAACAAAGACAGCTGCCGAAACTAGAAGTGAGAATATCCCACCAGGACCCCCCTAGCAAGTTGGCCAAGGCAGCACCAGCAAGAACATAGCTTGCCCATATCACAGGGTCTCCCCAAGGATTTTGTGTTTTGGCAATTTTGTCCAACTCGATAAGCGAATCATTCTGAGTGACTTCCATGGAGAGGACTTTGTTTGCCAAGTCTGCCAAGAGTGCCAGTTTGTACATGTCCAAGTCACATTCAATGGCTACAATTGTGGTTTGTGGCAATTCACTCTCCGACTTTGCCACGGAGCAAATGAGTTCTGACTGAGTGGCACGGAACATGCCATAAAAGCCATGTTGCTTCATTACATGCTCCAAGAATCGCTCCACATTAGGACCAGGAGATCCATATAAGAAGGCGGCTTGACCAATCCTGATGCAAAATCGAGTGGTACTGGTCAAATCTACTTCGTTCCGTGCATCGCCCTCAACCAGTCCTTCTTCCAGAGTGGATGACTGTGGCAATGTCAGTGGCACCTTTTCTCCTTCTCTTTTTCCACCATTCAATGTGTCGGAGTCTTGAGGTTCATCTTTCCTCCTTGCTTCCACATCATCGACTTCGATGCCATCTCCCTCCATGTTGCTTTTGGTGTGGTGTGCATAATGCGCAATTATTGCAAGTGGCCAACCCAGTTGGCCCTTTGCTGCCCTCTCCACGTCAACCCAAAGACAGAAGAGAGAAATAGTGTCCGGAAAGAACATCAGGAGCGTGTGTGTTTAAATCTAGAAAATAGGGGTGGATTTGAGGAATTAGGGGCGTTTCCACTAGCTACTAGTAGATAACCCTGATAGCTCCCTGGATTCGATATTATACTACATCCGTAGCTAGTAATTTATCATTCAAGCTGCGGCATCGCTGGGTAGCTAGCTAGAGACCGGCAGCTGGGATGGCCTCTGGACTTAACTTGACTGAGGACTCGACTCGACACTGTTTGACAATTGACTATACTGGTATTGGTGGCTGGTGGTGTCTTTGGTGCCGAGTGTTCGGAGCTAGCTATAGTAGTAGTAGACTAGTAGGTGTCAATCAGTCTAGCCTATAGTAGCTTCGCCGATATCGACACCGTTGCAAGACGATCGTCCGCTTTGGCTATGCCTGCATCCATGAGGAAGGAAAAACCAAGATTATACGATGTCAAGGCATCACACATTAACCCTCTTTTTGGGCTACGAAGGCAGATCTGAATATATGGCTAGCTACAGAGAGAGTTCGAGAGATGTATACCGAGATGCACCAAACGACAAGCCAAACTACTGCGCTGCGGTCAGACTGTAAGCTACCGATAGTAGAGGACGAGGTTGAACCTAGAAGCCAGCTAGCTAGAGAGGTCTGCGATGAGTGGTAGTGCATGGAGCAGAGAACCTAGCTAGCAAGCAGAAGCAGAACCCAGCGAAAGCGAGTCACACTTGAAACGTGGATAGTCGTCGCCCAAAAGCTCTGCGCCATGGCCCACCAGACCCGCTCCAGCCATGCAGCGTGGTACCGGTAGGGAGACAGGCGCCTCTCTCCTCCTCTTCCGCTGTTCTCGGTGAGAGACCAACAACCCCCACAAATCCAAAAAATATAGAGGCACCAAAGAGCTTCGAACACGGTGAAAACAGCCATGCGATAGCAGACATAACCCAAACAACAACAACCAAACAAGAAAAAATGACGAACGACAAGAAAGATTTGAAGTGTCTCATTTGCCTCGAGGACAATGCCTGCACGGGGTTTTCGTTGGTCCAGCTGAACGATGAGAGCAAGTGCCGACACTCGGTGTGCCGCGCTTGTCTGCGACACTATTTGGTCCAGAGCGAGAACGACCGCAGAACCAACGCCAATTGTCCCGAACCCGATTGCCGTGCACAGATGCTCCAGTCTGTCGTGGAGGATATTTTGGGCCGTTCATACAGCCCCAAGGTCTGGATACCTGGCAAGGTAGGAGAAGAGAAGGCACAAAAGGAAGATCCCGAAGAAAGCTTGGAGCGGTGGTTGCGGGAGAATGGAGCCCAGCAGTGCCTGAACTGTAATGTCTGGATCACACGAGAAGAAGGCTGTGATGCCATGCAGGTAAATCTGGTGTTGTGTAATACGCTCAGAACGGAATTAAGTGGGACTTCTCTCACGTCGCTTTTCGTCAAAACAGTGCTTGTGTGGTTGGCGATTTTGCTGGGAATGTGTGGCCCCCATTCGGACTTCCAAGGATGAAATCGATGTGTGCATTTGTGGCCATAGCAATACAGACTTTTATGACAATATTTTGAACGATGAAGGCCTGGGCGTGGCTCCTCGATTGGCCACATTGGAGGAACTTCGGGATATGGCCGCCTTCTATGAGCGACGAAAGGATGAAGACAACAGTGACGAATACATGTCAAATTATGATCGAAGTGAGGTGGAATCCTACGCCGTTGACGAGGAATTGGACAGCGAATGGGACAAAGAGTATGAAGACGAGGATGCTGTGGTGGAGGAAGATTGTACTGTCTATATTGGTTCCATCTTTGACTACGTGGAACCAGCTCTGGGCGTGTTTGCCGGAACCCTCTTGGACTGGGAGGAACCGTTAGAGGCCGGTTGCGTTCTGGTGGCCTTGTGGGCGGACATGATGGATATGGAGGACTCCACAGAGGAGGGCGTCCACGAGGATGACGCACAAGCAAATGATATGGAAGATGTGCATCGAACAGCAGAGGAAGTCATAGAGGAGGGTCGAGTCGTACATGAGGAGGAGGTTACGGCTGATCGTGATGAAGAAAGCGGAAATTGCGAACCTAAAGAGCAGCCTTGTGATGCCGAGAATCAATCAACAGAAACGGGGCGAGTCCGTCAAGAATTTCCCGTTCCACTGCAAACGCCACCGAAACGATGCAAGTCCGCGCCGCCTTCGATAGTGTGCCCAGCCACACCGACAGCAACTACTTGTCTGGGAATCGAGTTGACCATCGGTCCGATCCTTGCCCCCCCTGCGTGGAATTGAGGGGGGAAGCTTGACAGCGTTGGGGGTCGGAACAATCATATTCCGTTCTTATTTACCATACTGGTACCAGTACGGTACATGTTGACCGGAGGATCCGTTTTGTGCAAAATAAAATAAATCTGAATATTATGTGTTGCAGAGCACTGTGAATGTGCAAGAGCTGCCTCTGGACGCCTTGCAATGGCCACAAAGGATCCGGACCAGCAGCCCAGCTCCCGAAGTCCAAAATACACATCGACGAATTGACCTGCGTGTGAAGCGAGCGAGCCGGTTCTTATCACCAATGCGTCTATCCTTCCAGAGGTTGTTTGTTCTATGCATAGCGATTTCACTCACAACGCAAAGCTCTCAGAGAAAAAGGCCAGCGGAATGCAGCAGCACTGTATTGTTATTAATGATGAACCCAGCAGTCGTCTCTGCGACAGTGAACGTAGACTAGCTAACTTCGTTATCAATCAGAATGTGAATCTAGAGACTGACTCCGCAATGCAAACAAAACTTGAAAATCTCTCCAAGAATAATGCTGTGGTGGGGGCGCCGACGCACGAAAAGGTTGTGACCAACTCGCTCGCCCATGGTGGAATGTCTCGTCGAAACCGCAGGCAATGGGGTGATGGCCTGTGCAGCTGGTATCGCCTACGGTATGTTTTCTTCGAGCGAAGGTCGCAGGGGAAATCCAGCGCCGCTCGTTATTTTTGCCGAAAGAACTGCAAAAAGGCTGGGTGTCGATCGATCCTCATTGGGGCATCCACCAGCGGCGGCGGAGAGAGGTATTTTCAGAGGGTAGCGGCTGACTTGGGCGTTGAATTTACATCCCCCAGCTGGGCTCGCTGTCTTGTGGCTGCCACGACAAAATCTCCCCAAGAAGAGTTTAGTCCCTTTCTCTTTCTGGATGAGTTCAACGACGGAACAAAGCAGGATTTTCAGGACCTCAACAAGTTCATGCGTGTTTGCCAAAACCTGGCCTTTTATCTCATCGTCATTACTTCGGAAAGGGAGATTGCCAATGATATCATGAAGCTCAACGCTTGGGGCAAAATGCGGCCGCTAAAATTCATTCACAATGGCCCCACCGAAAACGTACGTGGTCAGCCTGGGTCCCCGCTCTTTCCCCGTGCTCTAACTCGCCACCACTAATACCCAGCTCAGCCTAGCTTGGCCCCATTCGTTAACCATGTATTTAGTGTTTATTTTTCTGCTCTTTCATCATGTTTTTTAATGTTTAATCGATAGGGCTGCAAGATAGAGGCACTTGTTCAATGCTACCCCCAGTAGTATGACAACAAGTGCGTATTGGCGCTTGTGTACAATCAATCTGACTCGGACACACGGAATGACAACGACACAACGCTTTTTTAGGGACTTTAAGTTGTCGTGATGGTCTGGCTAGGCGAATTGACCATTGGACCAATCCTTGATCCTTGGCCCCCCTGCGTGCTTCCTTGTTTACCATCCATGTTGACGGCAGAATACTTTTTGAGCCATTTTGAAATGTAAAAACTGATTGTTACAGCTTTATTACGTGTTGCAGCGGAGTGCCTCGTGCCTTGTGATGGCTCGCGGCGAATCGTTCTTCGATCTGCAAAAATCTGTGATACGTGTACGAGTTGTGAGGGCGTTATCTTGTGTTTTATAATGACCCCAGGAATCGACCATTCCTGCAGATTGCTGTCTTTTGATTCTGCGTTGATGCCGTTTTTAACCAGAACCGTGCCAAACACTGCGTCGTTCAGGCAGGCACGATTTGTTCAGCATATGCTGCTGTGTCTGATCCGACGTCTTTGACTTGCTGACTGCAAGATGAGACCCAAGAGGGCTACCGTAGTAGTACCGGTAAGTCATTCGTCACACTTACAAAGTGGTTCCAGGTGGTAGTACGGTGTTTCCCGCCAGCAAGCCCACCACAATCATCAAAGCAATTATCAACATTTGTTCAAACTTGAGTCATGGGATTAATGAGTTTGTGAGACACGGAATTACCACCCATTTCTTCTCGAATGCCAGCCAATAGGAGGTTGGTTGATTGGACTCACCTGTGCTGTTCCAAGCTCTGCTTGTCCTTCTATCACATGGAAAAGTCCTTGAAAACCAATGCTGCCACTGACCTGCAACACAAGAGAGGGTACAAGGACCAGTGAAGCCGGCCGATTCATGAGTTTTGCCCATCCATTGGCTATCACTACAAGGACCACTGTGGACAAAAACACGCCAAGATTCTTGTCCTTCAACTTGCTGAAGCCATAGTTGGACCCATAGGTCACTCCCTCGATTAGCAATGCCCAAGGGGCATCTCGAGTGCCAACTTGGAAGACAAAGATCAAGCAGACGCAGGCAAGTGGTACAAACAGAGCATGCCATGCCATTGGAAGTGGCACAGTCTTGTTTTCGTTGGATGGTACATTGGCAACCGCATCGATAAAGGAAATGCCAAGCCATGCTCCCACAACGAGCCAAAGGAGCACAATGAAACCTTTGGCCAACTTGGCCAAGCCGGACACAATTCTATCGGAGACAATCTCTGCCACTCCCACTGACACTTTAAATCCAGGAGTAAGGGTGATGATAGCACTTGTAGTGCAGATGAGCACATTTAAGTCTGCCAGTCCAAGTTTCACCAGGTTGGCAAAGGAAGCTGTCACAAAGGCAGCCACGAATTGTATATATTGTGCAAAGGCACCATGGTTGCCAATTTTGGGTAGTATCATCACGGTAAGGGAGCAAACACAGCTGCCACAACCAGAAATGAGAATATCCCACCAGGACCCCCCTAGTAAGTTGGCAATGGCAGCACCGGCAACAACGCGGGTTGCGTTTATCACAGGGTTTCCCCAAAGTTTGCGTGTTTTGGCAATTTTGTCCAACTCGATAAGTGAAGCTTTTTGAGTGACTTCCTCGGATAGGACTTTGTTTGCCAAATCTGCCAAGAGTGCCAGTTTGTACATGTCCAATGCACACACAATGGGTACCATTGTGGTTTGTGGCGTTTCAGTTTCCGACTCTGCCACGGAGCAAAAGAGTTCTGACTGAGTGGAACGGAACATGCCATAAAAGCCATATTGCTTCATTATATGTTCCAAGAATCGTTCTACATTGGTACCAGGGGATCCATATAAGAAGGCGGCTTGACCAATCCTGATGCAAAATTGAGTGGTGCTGCTCAAATCTACTTCGTTCTGGGTAGCATCATCACCCTCAACAGTTGCTAATCCTTCTTCCAGAGTGGATGACTGTGGCAATGTCAGTGGCATCTTTTCTCCTTCTCCTCCCCCACCATTCAATGTGTCGGAGTCTTGAGGTTCATCTTTCCTCCTTGCTTCCACATCATCGACTTCGATGCCATCTCCCTCCATGTTGTTTTTGTTACTGTGTATACTGGTAGTGGTGAGTGTGACTTCACGGCACTGCAATAATATTGCGATTGCGGTCACGCAGCTCCGTTTCTGGAAAGTGCACGTACGTATCGTACGTACAGCTACCGTAGAGTTGTACGAGGACAGTGTCGGTGGTTTACTCCTCTGCACCGCCCAAATTCCCAAATTAATTTGGGGGATATTTAATTAAGAGCAAAACAAAATTGAGAATGGCCCCCTAACGTTAAAGGGGTGAGAGGTGAGGAGCTTCCGTGCTTGGATCGTCACGGCTTATTACTAGTATAATCTTCACGGCTTCACGGTCTTGTACATTGAGTGCTTCGAGTCTTTTGTTGATGTCCCTTCGTCCCTTCGTGACTTCGTCCCTTCCCCCTTCCAAGCAGCTGCCAGCTGCCAGCTGCCAAGATTCTTCATGTTCACAGCAAGCACGCGCTCTCTTACGTCAGTGGAAAGGTGATGGTGTTTCGATACAGATATTTATTCATGAGCTCGGTATTATTTTTTATTTGATAGCTTGTGATTATACATGATGTACCACTTTTGTATTAGACCAAAGTAATGTATGGTACTAGGTATTTATATGTTCCACATGATTGAATACTATTCCAAGGGTACAGCTAAAATATAATTTTGCGCTATTTTGCGCTATTTTATCTGACGTATTCAAGCTGGATTACAATTGCTTTTCTTTTTCCCACAAACCTTTCAAACCTTTGCGCGATGCCAAAGATCCAAAGATCCAAAGATCCAACACCGAAAGCCCAATTCTCACTTTCTACCAGACAGGTAAAAGGATACCATAGCCGAACAGAAGCTGTTAATAAGTTTCTACCTTCATCTTGAGTCAAGCAAAAAGAGTTGCAAACAATGGTGTTCTGCTGCTATCTTCACGATGGTGCTCTGTTTCTTCCACCGGAACCAACTCCCAAGTCTGACTTTCACATCTTCTCCAATGTGGACGTTTTTGATGGCGAGAATGAAGCCCTCATCAAGAATCAAGATGTCGCCGTCCTGGGCAACAAGATCCACAAGATTGCCCCTACTGGAACACTAGGGGATGTCCCAGACAATGCCATTATCATTGACGGTACTGGTCATGTCTTGATGCCTGGACTCATTGACGTCCACTGGCACACTCTCATGGCCAATATGAAAATGGAGGCACTTAACTCATCTGAGATCTCATACACGGCTATTGTGGCTGCAGCTGCAAGCAAGGAAACGTTGTTGCGTGGATTCACCACCGTCCGTGATGCTGGTGGAAACTCCCACCCAATCAAAAAGGCCATTGACCAAGGAGAAATCGAAGGCCCTCGCATCTACCCTTCTGGAGCATTCATTTGCCAGACATCTGGTGAGAATTCTAGATATACTGTGCTCCAAAGATTCGTCTTCTCTCCTCGGTCTTGCCATGCATTATCTTACATCTTACGTGCTATCTACTTTCCCCCCTCCAAAACCAGGCCATTTCGATTTCCGCGACCGCAACGCGACGCCCACCGGTATGGTGGACTCTTTGGATTATTTTGCTCGCAATAATTTCTGCCAAATTGCAGACGGAGTTCCAGAAGTCCTCAAACGCACACGCGAACAGCTGCGTATCGGTGCCACACAAATCAAGATCGCAGCTGGCGGAGGAGTATCCTCGTCCTATGATCCTCTCGATGTGACCGAATACACAGTAGAGGAGATCAAGGCTGCTGTGGATTGTGCCGAGGCTTGGAACACCTATGTCTTGGCGCACGTCTTTAACGATAGGGGCATCATGAACTGCATTGAGGGTGGTGTCAAGAGCATTGAGCACGGATTCTTTGCTTCCGATGAGGTTCTCCAGGTAATGAAGGAAAAAGGTGTCTGGCTGAGCCTCCAGCCATTGTTTGCCGACGAGGATGGCATCCAGTTTCCGCCAGGTAGTATCCAAAAGAAAAAGTATGAAGATGTGTGTTCTGAGGTGGCCTCCTGCTTTGCACGTGCCAAGAAGATTGGCGTGAAGATTGCCTTTGGTGAGTGCAGATGATAGCAGCGAGGCCAGTCTCAACATCCCTCATTGCCTAATTTGAATCTCAATACCGCGCACAGGTACCGATGTCTTGTTTGACAAGGGGATGGCCAGGAAGCAAGGCAAGATGTTGAGCAAGTTGCAAGCTTGGTTTACTCCTTTTGAAGTCCTGAAGATGGCCACATCCAACAACGCCGAGCTCTGCAAGCTGTGTGGTCCTCGCGACACGTATCCAGGTCAATTGGGCGTTGTCAAGGAAGGTGCTTTGGCTGATTTGATCCTCACCAAGGGCAACCCCTTGGCGGATATCAACATTGTAGCCAACGCTGACGACAACTTTATGGTAATCATGAAGGATGGCAAGATCTGCAAGGGGGATATGACGTACGAGAAGAAATAAACAAGAATATGAGAGCGATAGTGGTTCTTGCAGGAGTGCATTAGCACTAGCTCGATTGCGTACCGGTAGCTCTACGAAGATGGCGACATCGCATAAGCTGCCTTTCCCAGCCAGCTTGCAGAGCAAAGACACAACGCTCGTTTTTCACAGGCACCGGTACCTGTTTTTCTTTAGGTACATCATCTTTAAAACCCATTTAGGCAATGCTTATTTTTCTGTGACATATATCTACTTGCCTCCTCGGTACATTCAACTGATGGCCGCGTCAAAATGAAACCTTCACAGCGTCCCCCGGTAAGGACAGATATCGCCATTTGACGTCGAAAGAGCAAGCAAAGGTTCCGTGGAATCGGGAGAGTGGAGTTATTGAGCTTCTTTTATCAACATGCGACGATGAGGAGGAACGAAGAGGAGAAAGTTCAAAGCTGTGTCAGCTCTGCGTCGAATCGAGTGAGGAGAAAAAGAAAGTGAAAGCAGGCTCGGGAACCGTCTTGGCAGCCACCGTGAAAAACGTAGCAGAAGATCTGTTTGCTGGTCTCAATGAGCTTTGCAGGTTCCGTGCTCACGGACCCAGGCGGTCTACAAGCCAAAAGAAAACTAGTTACTAGTAGTGTTTCATTACTAGGAGCAGATGCAAAGAGGGTACATGTATTTGAGGCCCAGCCAGTCTTGTCCACATCCTCCTTTCAATCCGATCCAAGCAAAGACTTCAATATCATGCGGGCTGTATCTTGTTGACTTGACTTGTCATATTCTCCATGGCTGGTAGGCAATCCTATGCTGCGCCACTTCCAGGCGAGGCTAAGACTAGCTAGCTAGAAGGATATGGGGTTGGTTGAAGCATGATTGCCATACCCACCAATGAGTTGCCGTTGAACTGCTATTATGCCTTCATCCCTTCAAGCGACAACGTTAATGGGGAGCGAAGCTATACTACGACTTGCTTCAAGGCAGATTGAAGATTCGATTCATGGGATCATGGCTGTTGTTTTGGGGGTCTCAGCGACAACACACAGACTCCCGCGAACCTTGAAGGGTCATCAACAGCATTTCGCAAACCATCGTGAAGAATCGTGGATCGTGGACTTCCAAAGCCGAGAACGAAGGAGGAAAAAGTCCCACTCTTACTTTGGTTTTGGTTTCTTCTCTAGTATCCTTGCAATCCCGATTGCAAGCCTCGCACCTCTCTGTTTTTAATACTAGTAAAAACCACAACTTCACCTGGAGAATGGCTTCGCTTGAAGGGAACGCACAATGCTCATCACGTAGTACTGGTACTGCGGTCTGGCTAAGCTGAGCTCTAAGCTGTACGCGCCCCTACTAGTAGCTAGCTACAGCACCGCCACTAAGTAGAAGCGGTGCACAGCCAGGGGTTGATGATGAGCGGACCAGAGACCACGGAACCCAGCCACTAGCCAGCGAGTTCTAGTAGCAAGGTGTCATTGCCCAAGCTGGCAGACCCAGGAACCGAACAAACAACTACTAGAGCAGGGCCCAAGCAGCATCCAAGTCAAAGAGCATCCAAGTCCAAGCAGCATCCAGCTACCGGTCCGTACTACGCTCAGTCCCAGTCGATCGTGGCAGGACTTCAAACCGTTTGTCTTGTGTTCAAATAATGCAATAATGCGGCGTCATCAGCCAGCCAGGACAGTTCCAGGTTCAGTACTGGTACATCCTCTCTGTCATGCCTTAACTGTTCCAGGTTCCAGGACAGCTCAAGCACACAGCTACAGCAGCAGCTACAACAGCTATTGCAGCACGCAGCACATTGTGCCACATCATCGCGATGTTGTTTATCAGTCCCAGTTTGGATTTTGGGTAGCCAAGCAAGTGCGACAGAGCTTGCGACAGCTACCTTTTGACCTTTTGCATGCTTTTGTGTCGCCCTCGCTTTTCAGCTGCTGTTGATAAACAGATCGAAAGCCATAATTAACAGAAATGCCTGGTGAAGACCAAGGATATTTGAGAAATAAAGGCGTGTTTAGGTTGACTACCTTGTCTGCTCCTTCAATGTGACGGGGGTGTTACTGTTAAACAAAGTGGTCAAACTTAATTTCTGGTCGTTAAACCACAATACGAACTATGACCGCGAATCGAACCCTAAAACACCAAGTTCCAAGACCGAGGAACTCCTCCGCGGTTCGCTTGAATTTTGCGAAGATCTTTTAGTTTTCAGTTTTCTCCCAAACTTCCCTCATTGCAAACAGAAGTGAGCTCTCATAAAACAGTTCCTTGCCCTGTTTGAAAATACACACAGCAAAACCAAACGATGACAAAGACAATGACCGTACTACCCACCGCCACCATGACGGGCCTTGCGGATATTGTGGAAGAGAAAGAGTTTGACATGAGTACAGTCACCGGTAGTGCTACCGACATGAGCAGCAGTATTCTGGAGGTGGAAACTCCCACTGCCAATGCCATGGTTATCTCCAACCTGACCAGTGTGCTGAAGAAACAGGGGAGTACCGTTCTGACCATTGAACGCCGCATGAAGCAATTGGGCAAAGAAACAGCGTGGAACGTCCACTACAATGGCAAGTACATGACGCAACTGCGCAATGCTCGTACCGTCAAGCTAGGGGGTGTCAAGAAGGGCGATATCATCACGTTGGTACTCCGAAATGAAGAACACCACATTGAAGTCAAAGACGCCACTCAACCTCTCTTGAAGTTGCGAGTCAAGGCATGTGGGGATATTATCTTTACGGGATCTGGCATTGGTGACAAGCAATGGATTGAGCCGTGCAATAGTAACAACGAAGATCTGCACGAGAGAGAAGCCTTCGAATGGACCAAGGGGGGATCTGCCATTGCTATTGCTGGTCCTACTCGACGACGTTCTAGTAGTGGCAAAGACAGCTCCTCCAAACGATCTTCCAAATCATCCAAATCTAGCAAACCTTCTAATCGAGATGGAGGAGTCCTCTATGCCTAACTTGCTTTTCGCTTTTTCCTTCTTGAGCAACTCCCAGTTTCTTCCTTCCAGTTTTATACCTCCTTCCTTATACTTTAATTTTATAATTGCAAATTTTCTCCCATTGTCATCCTTGTGTTCCAAATGTTTCTCGCCACTAGCTAGCTAGCTAGGCCAGCCAAGTGTGTTGCGCTCCGAGCTGCAGGATGGTTACTATCAGTATCAATACCGTAGATCGCGAAGACCGTAAATCGACTCTCAAACCCTCAACGAGCATCTGCGGCCACCTGTGAAGCGACTGGTCAGCCACAATGCAGGGCATCCTTCCTCAGAGACGCAATACCCTTGGCCCTGCCACGTGGAAAGTACCAGGTATGCATACTAGCTAGCTAGCTACCTGGTAGTAGTAATAAATTCGATCCTGCGCGAGACGCACAAACGACCCATTGTTTTGATCGTGGAACTCAGCATCGTGGAAGGAGCAGACATCACTCTACTGTCATTTTTTGTTGTTACTGTGGTGGCTCAATGGCGTCTACAGTACTACTTGGTATGGTACCGGTACCAATAGCTTTGTGGTGCCTGAAGACGCAGCGCCTACCAGGGATTTTCACTGCGAGGCCCCGGGGCAGGGGGTAGTCTCACGTTGTCGAGGCGATTGCAGAAGAGCGCAGCCAGGAGCGCATCAAGTGCCTTTTGATTTGGCTACTACACTACTTGGTGACATCGATTCTCTTACCACCGACCGAAATCTCTTTCGAGCGTACTCTTACACGAGCAAAAGATTCACTCAAAATCATGATAGTCCAAGAGAACGCTCTCGAGACTGCCGCCCGTCAGCCGTCAAAGCCGTCAGCCGTCCGCTCAAATCGAGCGACTTTGGAGCATACGGTACTAGCTAGCGTTGACGAAGCCAAGGCGTTTGAAGCCCTTAATCTTTTTGCAATTCGTATACGGCTGCCAACGGGAACGGGAAAACCTTGTACCACTTGGATGCTAATCAGGAGGCAGGGACGAACTCGTTTGATTCAACAGAGCCGTTTTACATTGGCCAAGATGCAACCCGATATTGCGAGTGTTGTCGACGCGATTGCTCGTCAATTCTGCCGTCGCAAAAGCGTCCGTCCAACAGGTGGGTGCGGTGCCCAATTTCACTTCATTTCCTGTACAGTATATGATTTCTTTGTGCTTCAAGAACCAAACGACTACAGTAAGAGAGCAAACAAATATCCAAGCGAAGACCGACAAACCGTAGCGCTGTCTGGCTGGCTAGAAAGGAAGTGCCGCAAATACCAGTAGCGCGTTGACAACAGTAGTCACGTCGGATCCACGAAGGAAAGAGGATGGGTTTGTAATAGTATCTGGTTACAGCTGAAGGCATAACATCGATCTGAACCGGTGACCAGGATAGTTGTCACTTTAACTGCCCCAAAATTGGCTTGCAACTACACTACATGTCCTCTGCCACCGGTGGAAGCCCCTGAACCTGAAAGCGCACTGCTCCTCCCTGCCATTGCCCAAAGCTGGCATGTCCATCAAATCCATTGACAGGCTCTGCTTCGCGTCTGCGTGTGCCTTCACCCGTTCCATTGGTTCCACTACTATAATCCAGATAGCTGTTGGTACCCGTGGACGCACGGGCAATGTGCATCTTCCCCCGTTCCGTGAATTCATCTCGTCCAGCCGTGGCACTGAGCCTGACACCATTGCCTGTACGGGGGACCGACGAAGCCAAAGATGCCGTGCCTCCTCTTCCTCGCTGCGTTGCATTGCGCTGCAGGTACTTTGGCACAAACACGGGGAGTAATATACAGGCATTCACAATGAATAGCATGGCCGAACCCACCAAATAGTAAGCTGTAGGACGACCCATTACCAAGAACAACATGGGGCCACCCAAGAAGAAACTCTCCATGAGACTGAGCATGCTGACTGCCAGATACGAAGATTCTGACAGAGTGGTTGGTAGATCACGGGCCACATAACTTTGATATGTGGCCGTAGCAATCCCCACCATGTTGAAGAAGAGAATGGGAATCAAAAAGTACAGAAACTTGTTGTCATGGCTCTTGCACTGCCCCCATGATTCCAGGCTTCTTCCATATTCATCAATATCGTTGCCATCAACCCGAACATAATGTGCTGGTGACACGAACGTCCACCCCAAGAGCAAAGTGACGTTGATGGTCATGAGTACAGCAAACGGCCACATGACGTCTTTGGCTTGTACTTCAATTCGCTTGAACCCCTGACCCGATGCCAAGAGTTTGTTCAATCTCCATGTCTTGGAGAATAAAGCCGAAAAGGCAACCACAAATCCCAAAAAGAGCAGCCAGGGAGTGCCCATGCAGGCGACATCCAATCGAGGAGTCGATTCTTCCCCCTGCATACTCATGGGTACTACTGCCAGACTCATAATCAAAGTCCCAACACACACCTGGACCAAGAAAATTGGCTGACTGGCCCGTACAACAAAGCGTTTGCGATGGCAATATGTCCAGGCCATAATGCCCACACTCAAGCCTGCGACGAATATTCCCAACACCCATCCCACAACTTGTGCTCCCACGGGTATCAAGTTATAATCGTGTTCAAATGGTGGAATGGGCAATGGACGATGGGTGGTATTGTCAAAGTGGATCCACCGATGGGCATGTTCCACTTGGCCCTTTGTGACCACGACAGCCAAATTTGTGTCGAACCGGATATAGTCATCATCGGATCGCTCGTCACTCCAAAAGACATTGTCAATGCGGTACGTGACACTGTCGGGGTTGCGTGTCCCTGTGGTCGTATCAAAAGTGACCGTGCCAGTGACGCCTTGGAATTCGAGATGTACCAATGTGTCGAAAAGTTCCGGCCCTGTAAAGAGTCCAGGCGTCTCGCACGCGGCAATGGCCAAACTGTAGGTGGCATCGTAGAATAATTTTTGATAGGGATCAATCGTCGGAACGACAAAGGTGAAATTGTCAAAAATGTGTCGATCCTCCGGTGACACGTGTGCCGACATGTATTCTTGTTGGAGCGTTGTACTGTTGACAAATTCCGCCATTGCGGTTTGCAGTCCCTCATTGTTGTTGGTACCGCCATCCAATACCAACGATCCCACACCCCGTAATGCCAGCGCCAGCTTTTGATCGACCGGATCGTGTCTTGATAACTCCAATGCTTCGGATGTCCATTCGAACATTTCAGCTCCAATCCAGACGTAATCGTCGTGTCCAATGACTTTCATTTCTTGTGCTGCCAACAAGACAGGTCTCCAATCAAATAAAATTGAGTAGACATACTTCAATCCCGATTGCTTGAGCTGCTGCAATGCGGACTCAATACTGGCTTTGTTTTCATCGTAACTGAAGGACTCCATGTGAATGTTCAATTGATTGGCGGCCCGTTGCAAGTCGGCATTGTAGTAATTTCCCCATGGATCTCGGATGTAGAGACATGCGACATGTGTGACTCCAATATTGTGGTAATAGAGCATGGCGGCTCTGGCATCGCCCGCATTGGTGGGGATGGATCTGGCAAAAAAGGGAGAGGAGTCCAGTTGTGCCGATGTGGCCGAGCCACTGATTTGTGGCAACTCGAAAGCTTGTCCAATCAGTGTCAGAGGAGACGTGACACTGGAAAAGACAGCGCCTACAATGCCAAAGGGGAATTGCCACTCCTCGTTGTTGTTGTTTTCGGAGGTAGCAGTGATGTCCTGTAGATGTCGTTTTCTTGACCCACCACGAGGGGAAAGAAAGGGAGGCTGTGTATCTCGGGGTATGGGCACAGACGTTCTTGGAGGAGGAGGCGTTCGAGGTGGAACTGTGCGCGGAGGTTCTGTTAATACGTCCGCTGTGGGAGCTAGGGACGTTGGTGCTTCAGTACCAGTGGGACTACTAGTAGTTGTAGCTGTCGTGGGAGAGTTGGTAGGAGAAGCAGTTGGAGACTGAGTTGGATTCTGAGTGGGTTGCTCGGTAGGAGATTGAGTAGGTTGTTGCGTCTTTTCTTCTGGTTCTTCTTGCTGTGGGCGTGACAGAATCCAATAGCCGTTTTCCATACTTGTACTACTATTAGCAGTAGTGATGTTGGATAAATAGGTGGCGGAGGTGGATGACTGTCTGACTTGTGTTGGATCCGTAGTGGCAGCAACCAATGCACGGACAGCTTGACGAGGCGAGTTTTGTGTGTCTCTGGCTTCAAACGTCCAATCGAAATCACACCCACCCAGTCGCTCTGGTAACGAGGCAACCACAACTCCGCTCCTCTCCTGCACATGCTGGAACGCCAAGAAGGACGCCACATGCATGTACAAAAATGCTTCGTCCACTGCCACTCCATCAGTGTCCCGACTCGAATAGCCTTGGAGCGTCAACAGCTTCCCTTGCCGTTTAGTCCCATCCTCACTCCAGCGGATTCGAGATGGAGTACTGCTACGCGACATTCCCCTTGTTATTCTACTAGAGTACTGGCTAGCTAGTAGTGCTACTTCTTCGTCTTGTCTTTCTATTCCTCTCGTGAAGGATTGATGCGGTTGGTGGCGTTGGTCCAAGGGAAGTCCAAGCGCAAAGATCAGCAAGAGTATTACCGCGCTCCTCTCGTGCTCTTTGCCTCCTCCTTGCCTCCTTTGATCGAGCGCTCCCCGTTGGCTTATGAGGGGTCACGTTATACCACTCACGGGAACACATTTAAACATGATGTTGAGGATTTAACATCATCTGTTCCGCTTGATTTCTACTTTATATCTCAGTCAGAACCAGAATAACCCTCGGTCCTGCTCATTTAATGCCAAACTCCATCCAGTCCCACTTGCTCTTTGGCTTCCGAAGCTCGAAGAAAGGACCGGTGAAATCGACCGAATGATTGGATTCTGATTCGATTGATCATTCAATCCGGTTGGAGCCCAAGGACGCAATGACACCGTGGGTTCAGACTGCCGGAGGTGGATTATCTAGTACAAGCTAGCCAGTACGAAAGCCAGTAAGGGCAAGGCTTAAAAGCAAAGAAGAAGCGATGGTATTTTCGGACGACAACACCGCTACGGCGACAACAAGGACAAGAAGAACAGCGACCAGCTAGCAGTGGCCGTCGCTACTGCTACCAGTACTATCAACACGAAGAAGCCATCGGTCGTCGATACCGATCGGCAACAGCGTCGGCAACAGGAGTTTGTCGGAAGAAGCAGTGGCAAGACGCATCGAACAGCCACCTCACATTGGCGCTCCTGTAGGCAAAAGAACGGCTATCTCAGGCAGATTTGACAAGCGTCCAACAGGTGGGTTTGCAAACTAGGGATCAAACATCCAAGTGATAACGCGTAAGCAACGAAGGGGGTGCCACAAGTATCGCGTTGGCGACAACGGAAGTCATGTCGATACGAAGAAAGAAAGAGGATGGGTGCTGTTGGTACAGAACACCCAGAAGGACTTGCTGGGGGCGTCATTACAGAAGCGCTCCTCCAGGACCCCGCGACACAGGAAGCTGAACTTGGCGAGTCTGAAATGGCGAGAAAAGGCGCCAATGAGGGCCCGCCCTCCAAGAAATTGCGAGGATCGGGTCAATCTGAAGGCAAGACATGGTTCAAAGCTTGTGACCAGGATAGTAGTATAGATAGAGATCCTCTACATGTATTAAAGCTGCCCCCAAAAAGGATTTGTGACTGCATCATTACACGTCCTCTGCCACAGGTGGAAGCCCCTGCCCCTGAAAGCGCACTGCTCCTCCCTGCCATTGCCCAAAGCTGGCATGTCCATCAAATCCATTTACTGGATGAGCTTCTCGTCTGCGTGTGCCTTCACCCGTTCCGTTGCTCCCACTACTATAATCAATAATGCTGGCGGTACCTGTGGACGCACGGACAATGTGCATCTTCCCCGGTTCCGTGAATTCGTCTCGTCCAGTCGTGGCACTGCCCCTGACACTACCGGTATCGCCTGTACGTGGAACCGAGGAAACCAAAGATGTCATGCCTCCCATTCCTCGCTGCGTTGCATTCCGCTGCAGGTACTTGGGCACAAACACGGGGAGTAATATACTGGCATTCACAATGAATATCATGGCTGAACCCACCAAATAGAAAGCGGTAGGTTGGCCCAATACCAAGAACAACATGGGGCCACCCAAGGAGAGACTCTCCATGAGACTGAGCATGCTGACTGCCAGATACGAAGATTCGGACAGGGTCGTTGGTAGATCACGGGCCACATAACTTTGATACGTAGCCGTGGCAATCCCCACCATGTTGAAGAAGAGAATGGGAATCAAAAAGTACAGAAACTTGTTGTCCTGACTCTTGCACTGCCCCCAGGATTCCAGGCTTCTTCCATATTCATCAATATCGTTGCCATCGACCCGGACATATTTTGCTGGTGACACCAACGTCCACCCCAAGAGCAAAGTGACGTTGATGGTCATGAGTACAGCAAACGGCCACATGACGTCTTTGGCTTGGACTTGAATTCGCTTCATCCCCTGACCCGATGCCAAGAGTTGGTTCAATCTCCATGTCTTCGAGAATAAAGCCGAAAAGGCAACGACAAATCCCGAAAAGAGCAGCCAGGGAGTGCTCATGCAGGCGGCATCCAATCGAGGAGTCGATTCTTCCCCCTGCATACTCATGGGTACTACTGCCAGACTCATAATCAAAGTCCCGACACACACCTGGACCAAGAAAATTGGCTGACTGGCCCGCACCACAAAGCGTTTGCGATGAACATATGTCCACGCCATAATGCCCACACTCAAGCCTGCGACGAATATTCCCAACACCCATCCGACGACTTGCGCCCCTACGGGTATCAAGTTATACTCGTGTTCAATTGGTGGAATGGCCAATGGACGATTTGTGGTATTGTCAAAGTGGATCCACTGATGGGCGTGTTCCACTTGTCCCTGTGAGACACAGACGGCCAAATTCGAGTCAAATCGGATGTAGTCGTCATCGGATCGCTCGTCACTCCAAAAGACATTGTCAATGCGGTACTCGACAGTTTCTGGGTTGCGTGTCCCGGTCGTTGTATCAAAGGTAACTGTGCCGGTGGCGCCTTCAAATTCTAGATGTACCAATGTGTCGAAAAGTTCTGGCCCCGTAAAGAGTCCGGGCGTCTCGCACGCGGCGATGGCCAAGCTGTAGGTGGCATCGTAGAATAATTTTTGGTAGGGATCAATGGTGGGAACGACAAAGGTGAAATTGTCAAAAATGTGTCGATCCTCCGGCGCTACATGTGCTGCAATGTATTCTTGTTGTAGTGTGGTACTGTTGACAAATTCCGCCATTGCGGTTTGCATCCCCTCGTTGTTGTTGCTGCCATGCAATACCAACGATCCCACACCCCGTAGTGCCAGCGCCAGCTTTTGATCGACCGGATCGTGTCTTGATAGCTCCAATGTTTCCGCTGTCCATTCATTCATTTCGGCTCCAATCCAGACGTAATCGTCATTTCCAATGAGATTGAGGTCGTGTGCTTGTAAAAAGACGGGTCTCCATTCGAATAAGACAGCGTAGACATATTTCAATCCCGATTGCTTTAGTTGCTGCAATGCGGCTGCAAGACTCTCTTCATTTCCATCATCGTAACTGAACGACTGCATGTGAATGGGCCGTTCCAATTCGTTGGCTGCCCGCTGCAAGTCGGTATTGTAGTAATTACCCCAAGTATCTTTAATGTAAAGACACGCCACGCGTGTGACTCCAATACTCTGGTAATAGAGCATGGCGGCTCTGGCATCTCCCGCATTGGTAGGGACGGATCTGGCAAACAAGGGAGCGGAATCCAGTTGAGCCGAGGTAGCCGAGCCACTAATTTGTGGCAACTCGTATGCTTGTCCAATCTGTGTCAGAGGAGCCGTAACACTGGAAAAGATGGCCCCCACAATGCCAACAGGGAATTGCCATGCGTTGTCGTCACTAGTAGTACCGGCAGTAGTAGTACTAATGTCCTGTAGCTGCCGTTTTCTTGCGCCACCACGAGGAGGAAGAAAGGGAGGCTGTGTATCTCGGGGTACGGGGGCAGACGTTCGTGGAGGCACCGTGCGAGGAGGAAGTGTGCGAGGAGAGTTCGTAGGAGAACCATTTGGATTCTCAGTTGGTTGATCCGTCTCTTCTTGTTGCGTCTCTTGCTGCTGTGAGTGTGACAAAGTCCAATGTTCGTCTTCTGTGCTTGTGCTGGAGGCATGGCTGTCTGTCACTTGGGTTGGATCCGTGGTGGCAGCGACCAATGCATGAACGGCTTGAAGAGGCGAGTTCTGTGTGTCCCTGGCTTCGAACGTCCAATCGAAATCGCAGTCTTCCAGTCGCTCTGGTAGGGACGAGATGACCACTCCATTCCTCTCCTGTACATGCCGGAACGCCAAGAAAGACGACAGATGCAAGTACATGAGCGCTTCGTCCACTGCCACTCCACCATTGTCCCGACTCGTGTAGCCTTGGAGAGTCAACATCTTGCCTTGCCGTCTTGTCCCATCCTCATTCCAGCGGATTCGAGATGGAGTGCTACTACTACTCGACATTTCCTTTGTATTTCTGCTACAGTGCTCTTTGTCTTTTTCTGTTTTGTGGTTGCAATGTTGCAATAATGGTCGCTGGTCCAAAGTCTCCTATCGGTCCCGAGCACTCTCAGGCTGCAAAACAGGAACAGCAAACTTGCAAACTTTGCTCGTTCATGTAATATTGAGAGATTTCTCGTGCTCCGCCTGTGCGTTGGAGCATGCTAGAACTCCCTTTGGCCACTGGAGGTCACAATGGTAAGAAAACTTCCGTGATTATTTAAAAGATTATGCTACATAAATCTTGTAATAAACAATAAACATCTAAGTCAGAATGACTCTAGAATGACGCTTGTTCTTCTCGTTAATGCTACTTAACACCCACTTGCTGTTGGTGTCACTTAATGGCCAAACTACTCGTACTAAACCATCATACAGTACTCTATCGAGGGAGAAGGAGAAGTTACAGTAAGTAATGTATGTTCTCCCTCCAAGCGCTCCTGATCGAATTGAATCGAATCGAATGAGAATCGAATGATGAATCGAATCGGATCATCTTTCGCTCCACGGTTTCATCCTTCCCAAAATTTAATGTTTTTGCCACCACTATCTAGTAGGTTGACCACCATGAACGCCTTGGCTCGGGATGTGTTTGCGGCTCTCAATCACCCAGTGCCCACCAGTAACTGGAGTGTTTTCAAGCATCAGCCATTGGAAATGATCTTGATGGCCAAGGCAGATCTGGAAACCGTCAAAAAATTCTACGAATGCTACCCAGAAGCATTGACCAAACAACTCTTCACCAATGTCCTCCAATGTGGTGCCAAACCAGGAGTGGTCGGTTTTCTTGCCACCATGCGACCTGACTTGGTGGATGAATATACTCTGCAATTGGTCGTGTCTCAAGGACCAGGACCTGATAGACCTACTGAGACTGAAATCATCACCATGGCTAATATCAACCCAACTTCACTGGCGCTGCCCAAAGGTCCACACTACTGTGAGCTTCCACTTACTTTGGCTTTAGTCTTGAACTGGAAATACAGCCTTCAATTGACCCAAAGCCTCTTCGAAATGAGTGCGAGGAAAACAACACAGCTATTCATGTTGTCCTCCAACACTATTGGTAATTTTGAAAATTATCCATGGGTCGTCGTGGAGGCAAATTCACCCATGAAAAGGACAAGATTGGATATGGAGGCAGTGCGGGGTATGGAGCCAGTTCTCAACAACAGCAACAATAATATCAAGACTATTGCTAACTGGTGTGCTGATTGGGAAGTGGATGCATTTTTGAAGTTTGTCCACAAAGTATTGTCCAATGATGCCGTTGAAGATCTATACCTACGATTCCCTGAACCTAATGCCGAAGAGCAACATCAATTAGTGTGGTTTGACACGGATGCATTCCAAAAAGCCCTGTCAAAGTGCAACATCCAAAAACTGACCCTTTTCTTGAGGAAAACGGATCCATTGGCTTGTGATTATGTGCAACATTGCCTTCACAGAATGCCACGTCTAAAGGTATTGCAAATCCAACTCAACACGGACAGTGGTTGTGGTGCGGCAGCATACCCAGTCATACCAGCAATCAGCCGCTTCCTCTGCAACAACAATCTACTTGAGGTCTTGACTATTGTAGCCAAAAGAGACACCCCAGGGACTGGTCTGGTCCAAATCCTGAGAGCATTAAAGCACAACCAGACCCTCAAAGAAGTGTTCTATGAGCAAAAGGCCATTCAGCCGGACAGGTTCCAACAATACCAGGATGTGCTCCTGGACATCCTGCAGAAGGGCAATAATACCACACTACAGCTTGCCAGTTTCAGTTTCGGCCGCACTCCCGCCAATCGCTTTGGCAACCGTTGTGTCTCTCTGCATCCAAGTGAACACTTGATACCCTTTTACACAGCCCTCAATGCATTGGGGCGAAAGGAAACTTCTGACCCAGAAACTAGCAGAGCTCAATTTGTGGATCTGCTCGTGCATGCCCAACACGGCAGAATAATGTTTGGTGACGACTCCAAAAACCACGAGCACCCTGCCACGACCAAGGATAGATTCAACATTGTGTATGGACTGCTTCATGAGAATCCTGCAAAATGGTGTCCAACAATCCTCCCACAACAAGAAAAGGTTACGGTGCTGTATGGGAGGTCTGCGTGGGCGTAACATTGTTCTATGCATATTTTTATACCGGTACGTGGTACCGGTTTGTACTGTATGGTGCAGTTCGATTTTTGAAGGGGCGGGGGGTGCTTTTTGGGGAGGTAGGTAGGTTGGTGGTACCGTACCATCCATCGTGTACGTTCCGGTAACCCGTACCAGTCGGTACCGTATGCCCAAGAACACGACTACCTAGCTAGCTACACATGGGAAGGTAATCTATCATACCAGGTATATGATTTACGTTGTTCTATAAGCTACGGTACGGAAACAATAATAACTACTGTAACTAGTCTATTTCCGTACCGTAATGGTCGGTCGGCTCCTACACTTTTATAGAGTTCCTACAACTCCTCATCTTCCAGTGGATTCAAATCAAATCGTTGATGCTGTCCATGTTGGGCATGCACCACAAACTCTTTGCGTTGATTGGTCCCTTGAAAGTAAACGGCAAATGTATGATCTCGTTGGGTAAATGCCGTATACGTTTCTCCCGGTGGCAATCCTTCCTTGACCGACACTTCCTCTCCCGTTTCGCCGTGGACCCAAAAGATATTAACGAGAGTATCGGAGGAGCGATTAATGAATTCGGCGAGTGGCGGTTTGATATCTTCCTTGGTCAACAATGCAGCGACGGCACTCTGGACGGTATCTTCTTCCAGTGGATCCAGGGGTGGCATACGAGCAATCGAGACTGCCGAATTTTCTTGGAGTCGTTCGATTTTGGACGTTCTCGGAATGACCGACACATCATTTTGAACGAGCCATTTCAAGACGACTTGTGGCAATGTATAGTTTTTATGGTCTTCCGGCGTGAGTGGTGGTTCGGCTCGTTGGGATAATTGTTGACTAATGGCATTGAGTGCGAGAATGGCATTGGGGGCATCTTCGTAATCGCGATCGTAAAAGACTCCATTAATGACATTGAATGCTTGAAACAATATTTGATTTTCACGGCAGTAGTCAATCAAGTTTGGATCAAAGACGTAGGACCAAATGTTGCCCTGTCATAGAGATCCATCAAAAGATCATTCAACCAACCAAAGGAGGGAAAAGAAGAAAAGCAATCACAATAATAAGTGAGCTTGTTGAAGTTGACCAAACCAGTTTTGTATTTGTTTTGTGTTCAGTACATACCTGCAATATATGTGGAGTAACGCGTTGTGTTTTTCCCATTTCCTTGAGATCATCCAGTGCAAAATTGGAAACACCAATGGATTCCAACTTTGGCAATCCTTTGCCGAGCTTTGTATTGCCTAAATAAATATCTTCGAGTGCCGTCCACGATTCCAAAAAGGCTGTCTCTTTATGAAGATGCGGCGGTGGACCGGCATTTTTGACGGCGAGTGGCAAATCTTGTTCTTCCTGTTCGCAATTCATCCATGGAATATCGTCGCGACATCGCGGCCAATGAAGGAGAATGTGTACTTTGACATGGGCATGATTGAGATTGCGCAGTGATTCTCGGACGCTCATAATGGTCCGATCATAGCCCAAATGTGTGTACCAGACCTTGGTCACCACATGGACTTCTTCGGATGACGATTGCAATTGAATCAGTCCATGCCCCACGCCACGACGAACAATATCTTCATTGCGACTGGCATGGGCTGTATCAAAGACCATGGTCCGTTTGTCTGTTGCCATGGCTTTTTCAATGCGATCTTCAATCAAATTGTGCTGCAAATTGCCCACGCCCAATCCAACCAAGGGAAACTCGGCGCCACTCGAAAGAGGGACCGTGGGAAGCACTACATCATTGTCGTTGTTGTTGTTGTCCACTGCAGTCACTGCACTAATGATACATAATAACACCACCAACAAGAGGAAACCTCCCATTGTCTGTCTCATTGTGAGCTGGTAAAGTAAGTCTTACTGCAATGGAGGATCAGCTCTCTTTTGGATTGTCGTCTCTGTCTTCTTTCATCAGTGCAGTTTTGATGTTGGAGCAGAACAAGTCAAGTCCTCCGATCCAAAAGATCCAAAAAGATCTAATTTAGCTCTAAGACCATCCAATACCAGGGTACCCCAAAACCCATGCATTGATTCGTGCGTATTTGCCGAAAGCTTGACATCCTCGCTGCCAGGCTATGCTTGCTTGCAAAAATCCGGCTATGTGACACGCTGAGTCATGCGTGTGACATTTTCGTGACAGCAAGATAACTTTAACCCTTTTACTTAAGGGAAAATTTGCATGAGATTTGCCCAACGCTCGAACGCGACCCAAATATCACCCTTTTGCGTTCCGGATCGATCCACCCAAACCATGTGCAAAGTAACCCTAACTCTCAAATAAATCGCATTTTTGCTTGGCCTGCTCTCGGGCCATATTTTTACTTATGGGATGTCTGATGAGACATGTATGGATGGGTTTTGGGGTACCCTGGTATTGGATGCTCTAACCTTACTGCTCAATGTTGGGAAGTGTTCCCTCATTCTCATCGCAACATCGCAACCGTCAGTTTTTCAAGACGACAGACAACGTGCTGCTGCTGTTGCTGTTGCTGTGGTTGTCCAAGAAAGAAGAGACCAAGACGACCTAGTACAGTATTCTTCAGTATGTACTGCGGAGACGAGACAGGATCGTTCATTGGCGACATTGGATCTCATACGAGTCGCTTTGGCTATGGCGGCGAAGACAATCCCAAATTTGTGGCTCCCAGTTACACGGTTCAATGTCAAGACAACAACTCCACTACTAGTACATGTAGTAGTATTCCCTCATCGTGCTATTCCGGACGATTGGCGTCGCAGAATGTGCGTCCCATTCTCCGCATGCCTTGGCTAGGAGAAGAGGACCAACAATTTGCCGCTCCTCAAATCGATCCCAATGCGTACTTGCCACAAGGCGATGGCGTTCAAGATTGGGACGCTCATGAACAACTCTGGCTTCGTAGTTTGGAACTCTTACGGGTCACCGATACACTCAAACATACGAAAGGAGGAACTCCCTACACACCAAATAATGTGACGAGTAGTAGTACCATCCACAGCAACACCACTAACAAGACAGGTGCACGCTGCGTCCATCCCATTTTGGCCGTCACTCCGGGCATGACATACCGGACGGGTCAAGTGGGCGAACAATATGCGGCAGCAGTCCAACGAGAACAACATACGAAATTGGTCGAATTTCTCATGGAAACAGTCGACGCACCCGCTTGCTTTTTGGCACCGACGCCCATGCTCAGTGCCTTTTGTTTTGGACGACAAACGGCGTTAGTAGTAGATGTGGGAGCCGGGGGATGTCGTGTCACACCCGTCGTGGATGGATTACTATTGAAACACGCCCAACGACGCAATGGACGGGGTGGGGATTGGTTGGGAAATGTCCAATGGAGGGCACTGTTGGAACAAAAGGTTGTACTACGACCGCGCTATCAATTGCGCAATGCCATTTCGGCACTGGCTACCAAATCGCCCTATTTTTATAGATGGGCCATGCAGGATCTCCTGTACGAATTTCGAACTTCATCCAATCATTGCAAATTGGCACAGTGGTGTGACGATGAGACAGTGCCATTTCTGTGGTCGACATCTAACAGTGGTACTGAAAATAAAAACAACAACAATGCACAGTCATCCGATGAGGAAGAAGACGATGACGAAGAGGAAGAAGGAGACGATGCCAAAAAGGAAGGAGGAATCAAACCAACACCCATGGAAACAGAGGAGGAGGAAGACGACAATGATAAAAAGAGCGACCATGATGACGATGATACCAGCAAAAGCGTACAAGCAGCGGGAATGACCTACGAACTTCCCGATGGAACCCATATTGATTTGTCCTCCAAAATGGGACACGATCTCTGTCGGATACCCGAACTGTTGTTTACGGACGAAGTCCCCTATGTTATGCACGAAACATCCCGCACGGGAATCATGTCCGAACACCATACGCTGTCCAATCTACCCCTTCATCAACTCGTATTTTCGTCACTGTCCGCCGTGGGAGATGGCGATTTGCGCAAAGATCTTGCGGCCAATATCATCTTGACGGGTGGATCGTCCTTGTTTCCCAACATGGCCGAACGATTGTCCATGGAAGTTCCACGAGTTGTTCCCAGCAATTACAAGTGCCGCGTCATTGCCAGTCGCAATTCGGTAGAACGATCTTGTTCCGCATGGGTCGGTGCCAGTATTCTAACCAGTCTCGGAAGTTTTCAACAATTGTGGCTCAGTCGCAACGAGTACCAGGAATATGGTGCTGCGTTAGCCATTCAGAGGTTTCCGTAGCCAATAACACACAATAACGAATAGTTAGTGCATGCACACACTATTAGTTTTATTTCTTATTATTATTCTTGTACACGACATTCTCGTAGACCAAAACAATGCCAGTGAGAATGAGCGAAGCTGTAAAGGGATTCCGGAGGAAGAATCCAGTCAATCCTCCCGGCCCCCTGGCAGCATTATTGCCCGATGCTACGTCAAGCTGTTGTTCCATTCGCAGTTCATTGAGGCTATCAATGCGGAGACCTTCGCCTGGTGACAGTGTGTATCCGTAGCCAAACAAGTTTAGGAGTAATCCAGCAGCTACGGCTGTTGCAAAAAAGTAAATGAACCCTGTTTGTACTTTGGACAGCCAGTCCAGAGGAGATAACGATTCGGATGCGGGTTCTATCTTGTTCACAGGCTCTTCTTCTGCTGCTGCTGATGTATTCTTCTCGGGGGTAGAACCAGTCGCTGGTTCGTTGTTGGAATCTTCGTTTGGGGGGTCGGAGAGATGCACTCGAAAGAAAAACTGTCGCTGTTGTGTCCTCAAATAATGCTGAAAGGCAATCGGAGGCTTTGTGGGTTGAAAACTCCATACCGGTACTGACCGGCTCAGCAACAGGAGCACCAAACTCATCCAAGGTACTAGTAGTACCACGGCTCCGGGCTTGGACATTGTTCTCATGATTCTAGCTAGCTAGCTAGGAGACTATTTTGACTATTACAACTACTACTTGTTTCCGCACTTTTTCTTCCAACTGTCACTCCTGATCTTTTGGATCTTTGGCACTGACGCCGCATTTGCATCGTGGTGGTCCACCGTGGATTGTTCTACTTCCATCGTGGAGTACTGTACAACCGTGGATTTCCTTCATGTACTCTCCTCCCTTGATATTTTACTAAAAGAGAGTCCGAGATACGATGTCGAGCATGAGATTTGCTGAAATGTTTTAAAAGATACAGTACTTGAGACACTCAGATCTGCACTAGAGCTAAGATACCGTAGCACTCTCCCTTGGGCACAAAAGAGATTGAGAGATTATACAATGACAATTTTCTGCAACAAAATGCCCTTTAAAAAACAGGTGCCAAAAGTTACAAATACTAGCACAGTAGCAAGGTTGGTATATAACATGCTACTATTATGGTCAATAGCAATGGCAAGAAAGCTAAGATGTTGCCTTTGCACTCTGAATTTTAACAAAATGCTAAGAAGAATCTCAGTACATATATTTGAGTGGTTGCTAAGATGCCTCTACTACTAGCTAGGGTTAAGCTAAACTCAGAGACAACTTAATAATATCAAGGGAGGAGTGTACTGTGGCCAAGATCCAATCAAGAGATTGGATGGATCATTCGTCAAGAAACTCATGAATCATTCTTGTCTTGCTTGCGCTTCTCGTCGCTCGCACTTCTTAGCGGTGCTCGCTTCTCGCTTCAAGTATGTACCGATACCAGAACGCGTTCAACCAGAACCGACTGGGAGTGCAGTGGGGATGCGGTACATGTGACACGTGATGTCAACACCTTTATGTACGGTATACCCATTCTTACTTTTACGCTCGTACGTCAGTGGAAGAACTGTGTGAAATTGTCCATGTATGAAGGTACTGTAAGCATTCGAAGCAATGATTTCTGTTCTTGATACAGCTGGAGTTTCTTTTTTTCTACATGTAGTACCAGTTGCGCATAGTATATACTATAATAGTATCAATCTGGAGCATTATTCACCTTCCTGGCTTCTTTCTACTCCTGTGCTCAGTATTCTACAATTCCAAACATTGGAGACAAGGTCATGCTAGCTAGCATGGGTCTGAGAGGATGTCCTTCCTGGCATGGATTTGCCAGCTAGAGGCTGGTACAGAGTAGTTGCTAGCATCTACCATAGAATTTAAAAGAATTCAAAAGGAGCGAAACTGCTCCACGCTGGAGTCTACCTGGAGCACACAGGGAGAATGTCATCTTCTAGAGTGCAGCGTTGGCTTTATCGAAAAGACTTTTATTATGACCCAGTACTCAAATCGTGTAGAAACCTACGTAAAATTAATCACAACCAACCAAAACCTCATAAAATAGATCCAACGAAAAGGATCGACCATGGCCAACGGCCGAATCGATACACCATCATCAGTAGCTCAAAAACACCAAACAGACAAGAACAACAAGCTTATTAACACTGCCGGTCCCATTGGAGCCTCTCAGCAACTGCAGAAAGTCCTCTACGGGGCCGAACGGCCGAACGATCAAGTGATTGCTGCAACAGAAGATACCAGTCATTTCACGTAGAACCTGGTACAGTTTCTACACACGACCAATCTTCGAAAATCGCAATCACACCCACCATCAACACCATCCGCTCAACCAACCCCAATCAAGACACCACTTGTCGCTACGATAATCAGTCCCCAACCCCTGCTTATTACTATAGTAACGGGTCAGGAATAACTGGATCTCACAGCAACACGAGTTTCTCGAAAGGCAACACAAGACGACCGAAACACCAACCGACCGAGACCACCAACCGCTGTTGAATTGCATCGTCAAGAATTGGAGCTCTCCCTCATTGGAATCCTACCACAATCGGCAAGCATCAAACTCTTGGAAACAACAACTCAACTACCAGCCAACCTCCTAAGCCTTTGGAACACTCCCTCTAAATCTCACAACACGTACCTCCAATCGAACCGATCAAGCCATCGACTCGACTGTATTGCATCATCCAGAACTTGGAGCTCTCCCTCATTGCAATCCTACCACAATCGGCAAGCATCAAACTCTCGAACCAACAATCCAACCACAGCCAACCTCCTAAATCTTCGAACCACCCCCTCTAAATCTCCTGTCCCTTATATCTTCGAACACTTCCCCTAAGTCTTCCCCTTATATCTCGGAACACTTCCCTAAGTCTCTTCCCTTATATCTCTGGAACTTCCCCCTAAGTCTCTTCCCTTATCTTTGAGACCAACCTCCAAGCCCCTTAATCCATTGATCAAGTGTACCACCTTGATCTTATCTTGTGTGCAGCAGCAATCAGCCCCTGTTGGTGTTCAAGGTTCAGGCCCCTGTTGGTGTCCAAGATTCAGGCCCCTGTAGGCGTCCAAGGCTGCTTATACTTGACCATCTCAATGTCTTCACACACCCATAGTTTCCAGTTAACTCCAAGACTCCTCTGAACTCCAAGATGTCATCTACCCCAACATCCTCCAAGAGAGGTAGTAGAGGTCCCCCCACAGGAACAACCCCAACTAGAACCCCAAGAAAGGCAGAACACTCTTACCAACACCTTTGAATTAGAAGAATTCTCCAATGATGCCTTATCTGAATATGACAAGTCCATCCCCCTAGACAAAGTCTTCCAGATCAACCTCATACTCTATCTTCAAACTGAGCAAAGCAGAACTATCTTTACCCAAAGCCCCACTGTCAAAACAAGAACTGCTCCCTGTGGCCAAGAGGTTACATAGGAATGCCCTGTGTATGAAGCCCAATCCCCTGAAGTATCCACTGCAGCTGCTGAAGATAATCAGAACCAATCCTTTGGCACTGTCTACAAATTTCTTCTTGCACTAGTCAATGTCCAAATTGAAGGATCAGATCTTCCCCTTTACACCACTAGGACCCCCAAGCCATGATCATAGACTTCCTCAGGCTGGCTGCTACTAAACCCACCCTCTTTAGTCCCACATTGAAGATTGCAAATAACCCACAAATCCAAGTGAAAGTATGGTTCAATGCTCAAATGAAACTTGGATCCTACTTCTCGTACCAAGAACAAACCAGAAGAAAGGAAGACAACATTGATGATTACTTCAACCCAATCCCTCATGCCACCAGCCCATCAGTTGTGTTTAATGCCTGGAAGAACATTAATGACAAGGAATCCCAAGTCCCACCGCAACCAAAGAACCTACAAGACGGGCACCAAGACAGGAATTCTAAGAATCCACCAAAACAGAGAGATACCCCAAGTCTCAATGACACAGGACATACTGGTAAGTCAGCCAAAGAACCTGACAAATCAGACACCACGCCCAAGGGAAAATCTACCACCACCGCCAACCAAATCACTCCTGCTGACAAACAAAAAGCTAGAAAAGAAACCAGGAAGGAAGGCACCATTAACATTGAAGACATTCCTGATGATGATGGATCTTCACGTGATGACTCTGAGGAGATGGTCATTGACAGCGACGATGATGATGGTGATCTGATAGCATGAGGAAGAGGAATGGCAGCAATACCATTCAAAGTGTTGGAGGAAACATACCTGACACCTCTTTACTATTGACTCGTGTATTAATCATCTAGTCCGGTTCGCATGTAAATTGATCATGCAAGGAACCAAGGGAGTTTTAGGTCTAAAGTGTTGCGGGGTCCTTATATCCAAATTCAATCACAAGAATTGCTATGACCACCAGAAAATCCTCACTTTTGTCTTTACAGCTTAATCTAAAACCAATTACTCCCCAATAAGCTGCAGT